TACGAGTAAAGACAAGTCTATCTAGAAGTTTGGAGGAAAAAAGAAACAGGGAAATGGAACAATAGTTGGAAGGGGAAGATGGGTCTAGGGATGGCTTTTTTAGGATGGGTACGACAGTAGCATGCTTAAGGGGAGCAGGGACAACACCAGGTGAAAGAGAGCAGTTTAGGATGTGTGTTAGGGATGGTACAAGACAAGGGGATAGAGATCTGATAAAGTGGGAAGGTACTGGATCAAGCAGATAGGTGGTGGGACGAGAGGAAAGGAGAAGTATAGCCATCTCCTGTTCACTTACTTTATGTTTTCTGTGAGTTAGCATAAGATCCGAGTCTTGTGACGTAAAATACTGTACTGTTATACGAGAATGATATTATGTTCAGATTACAGATCAAGTGCGCACAAATATGAAGACACGTTAGTAGTGTACAATATTGCAAAATAACGTTTAAGAACTTAATTTTCCATGCTTCTCAGCCAGCCTTGCAGGCATTTACGTTGGCTGAGCCCTATAAGAAATGTAGTCAAATATCTTTTGATCCAGTGATAGCAATTCATGATCTATAATCTATCTTTAGACAATAATAAAATACATTGATGGAACACAGTAGATTTATGGTATAAATCCCATCAACATATCACTCATTCATTTGAATGTATTAGAATGTATTGGTTAAGTGTATTTTTCATAGCACTAAGTTTTCATACTTTCCCCACAATATCTCTCTCTCCCTCCCTCTCTTTATCAACCTATGTAATCTAGCTGTCTGTCCATCCACGTCCCCTATACCCATCCTTCTATTCATCCATCCGTCCATCTGTCCATCCACCAATCTATGAATAAACAGGATAACCTATATTAATGATCTCTTCCTGACTGAATGTAAAACTATGAATACTTACATTTTCTTTTGTCAAAAAGCAATATAATGGTCAGCCAATAGGATTAAAAATTATTTGTGGATCATTCTTAGAGATGCAACAGTAAACAAGACATACAAAATATAAAAAACTCTCACACCTTCCTTCCCTTTCCACGTTTGCCCTTGTTTCTGGAGTGTATAAATTCACACAAAGATAGCACATTTCACAGAATAAGTTGCTTGTTTGGTTATCCCCTCTGTCTATGTTTACTCAATACATACATTGGAAGGTGGTAGTGTGAACTTCTGGTACGTTTCAATGAAGAATTTCTCTACAAGGACCAGCTTAAGATCTCCAAATATGTTCTAGAATTCTGGGGGGAAAAGAAGAGACAGCTCAAATTGCATTGCTGTGTCACACTGGTTATTTCATGACTGCAGCCCTACATGTCAAACAAATATTCTATACTGAAACCTTTAGGGCGAAATTCCCAGTTAGTTTCTAATTAAGTAACAAGAGTTGCAAATATATTGGGAAAATCGTTCTCTAAAGAAACAATTATACTGGAGGCAGCCTATTGCACCATGTAGTTCAGTTAGATCTGTGTGTGTCTTTAGTACTCCTGGTCTATCCACTTTACTGTGATGCATTTTGCCTAATTTTACTGGAGCTAGCACCGGTTATGGCTCTAGTCAGGCATACAACAATGGACATTTCTATTGGTAAGCCAAGTTCTCCCCACAGCCTAATCTTCCTTCACTTCATTCAAACTTGCTGAATAGGGAACGGACATCAGGGAGGGAGGTGATGAGGAGAGGACATGGGTGGCACCATTGTTTCTCTGGTGCCAACGAGCTGTGCATGCTGAAGTCATACATTGAAATTACACAGAATTCACATTTGCCACCAGGCTGGTTAATCATGCCCAATGACCCTTCCGAAGGTGGAGTTATACCACTGGCAGCACAGGGGTTAATCTTTATGTGTGCAGTATTACATAGCAAAACAATGTACATACAGACTCAAGGCACCATGATCACTTAAAATCAATTAAATCAATTAACTGCTCATGGTGCTTGGAGTAACATATTAATGTTACCTCCTTGTTACTGTAATAACAGTGCAGTATAGACAAGGGAAAATCCTAAATTAGACTATAGGACAAATCCAAAGGTCAGGGCAGGCAGCTAGTATGCATAAACGATAATCAAAAATGAAGATAAAACAACAAAGAGTTAGGAGTTGGTAAAACGCTTCCAATAACTGAAACAACAAACTTACACTGAAGCTAATGAGAGGCAGGGCTTTAAAGCCAGTTAACGAGCCACAAATGAGACAAGTAACTGCAGGTAGGTCAGCAGGGGTCCAGCCCCCAGAGATGCAGGACCTGAGTTCAAGTTCAGTCAGATCTCCCAAATGGGTGGCCACACCTGGCAGTTTTCAGAGATGGTGGAAACCTGTGACACCTTTTCTCCCATGCCGCAGCTGGCCCTGCAATTTTGATGAACTCAGATAATCCAGTGCTTTTCCATATAAAAGCAGTGAGAGGTTGTGGCGCATGCATGGCAAAACCCCACAATTTGCCAATCAGCATCTCCTCATAGAGATCCATTGAATCAATGCATCTCTATGAGGAACGTTCAGCATCTCCATAGAGTGGCCACTGGAGGTGTCCTTAGGGAGCTCTGTAAAAGCTCCCTTTTCTCTGAAAAGACAGTGTTTACAGCAAAAACCCTGCAGGGACTGACTATACTCACCAGAACAACTACAATAAGCTGTAGTTGTTATCGTGACTATAGTGTCCCTTTCAGAACCCAAAAGAAATCCTTAAAATACATTGAATTTATAATCACTGCAGTACTTTAGGAAACACACCAAGGAAGCTTTTTCAACTGTGATGCTAGAAAAAACTGTATTGATCAATTAACAGTCGGTAAACTATTGTTGTTATCAGACAGTAAACCCTCATAACTGTCTCATAACAATCCTTACACAAATATAAATGAGCTAATGTAATTAAAAAGTATAAAGAACAGATACGTGCTAGCAGATCAACCATAGATTGCAAACAAAGAAGGGATCTGCACTATCATCACCTGTAGACCTCGGTGCACTGTACCTAGGGCTGGCAATCCCCCAAATACATATAATAAAAAAAAGGTTGTCCAGGCACTCAAGGTCTTCATAAAGCAGCAGATTTATTGGCAAAACATGGTGAATACAGCAATGTTTTGATCCCCTATGGGATCTTTGTCAAGCTTGAGAAAGATCCCATAGGGGATCGAAACGCTATATTCGCCATGTTTTGCCAATAAATTTGCTCAGTGGCATTTAACACCAGACAAATCACATGAAAATTATAAATTACCCAGTTCCACCTTGCTTGAGATGCCTTCAAAGACCAGTTACACCATTTCATATCTGGTGTGCCTGTCCTTAACTCCACCATCTCTGGACGCAGGTCCAGGGACTGATTAACACGTTGTGTATCCTGTCTCTGCCATTCTCCTCCACACCATATCTATGCCTGGCTTTCACAGCCTCTCTCACCTTCCACAAGACTACATATGTTCTAGTGGTGAAAAATCTTATAGTCTTGAACTGATAAAGCCAAAAGGTTCCTACAATGAGAGACTAGGAAGTGAGGTTGCACATAAATTATAAATAGTCTGTGGTTGGTAGAATATGCCCCGCTCGACACCCCCATGTCTATATCTCTGTCTAGGCACACTGAATGCCTTACTAAAGTGTCTTGCACTATTCTGTGCTTCCCCTAAAGTGTCTTGCACCATCACATGTGTTGTGGATCAGAAATGTTGATCTTTGTTATATTCAGAGGAAGCCCAAATTGTTGTTACAAGTGCACTCGGAGAATTGAGAATTAGACACCAGACACCTGTTGGTATTCAAAATAAGCCTCTGACGTTTTATTCATCAGCTGGGTTTTATACATTAAAAAGTAAGTGCTTACGTGCAAATACTCTTAGAACAGTAATAGGAAGAGAATACAGATAAGACATAGGGATGAGCGTCATGTACCCATAACAAATAAGTTTCAAGGTATGAGAGAACAAAATGATTAGAGCAGAGACATCTTAGGTGGGGGCTCTCTGCTCCCGGAACTTAGACATATATGGTCTTAAGTGTTGTTTAAGCATCAAGCATTTCCTGAGTCCAAGTTAGCCAATTTTAATATAGGATATCATTATATGACACCTATAAGCTTGAGCCTTGGAATCAAGATAAATTCTATCACACATGCACTCGCTCCTCTCTTACTTGGGCACACGCCACTGTCTTGTGTAATTCTGAGCGCAGATAGGTAGAGTTGTCGGTTTAGCTGGTGCCATATCATGCTTGCTAGTTTGATGCTTAAAGATGTCTTGATGCTTTAATTTATCTTCAGTTCAAAGTACCTGTATATACCATGTATTGCAACTGCTGTATTCTTATTAATAAAAAAACCCAATAAAATTCTATTTGAAAATAACAACAACTTAATGACGGTGTTCTAACTGATTTTAAATAACCACAAACAGGAAAGCAATTAAACAACAAATAAAGTTATTGCTTAAACAGACTACTGTATTTCCCTTGGAGGGCTGCTATGTATATATAATGAGAATGATTAGATAACAATAAATTTACAGACAGCATCTTCCCTTTTACATTCATATTCTTGCCACTTTATGGACTTGTTCGATGAAACGTCAAGGAACAAGGAAACACACTGTGAGAAAAAAACAAACACAAACAAATGTTCTACAAGTACAATCGGGGCCTCATTGGCGCCTTCAAGTGGCTATCATTTATTTCTAAAAATAATAAAAACAAGGGGTTCTGTAGCAACTCTTTGGATTACAGTGACACCCTCTACCTCCTCCTCCCCCTCCCCCCCTTTTATTTGTTTTTTAGAAAATATTTCATTAGGGACACTCAAGATTTCTGTTGTTGGCCAATTTATAATTCTTACAAGGTACTGATTTTGTATTTTTAGCAAAGCAGAACTGACAAACCGTGAAAGTGGTCTAAAGAGGAAATACAAAGACAGGAGGCCTGATTTCTCTGTCAAGAGTAATCAATATTCCAAAGGCTCCTAGTTATTCACTGGGTCTCTCTGTTTTTTTTTTGTTTTTTTTTGACTGGCTGGTTCACTCCCCTTTTCTTAAGTCAGAGAGCAACAGTAGGTTGTTGTTGAGAGCACATGTTCTCTCTGATTAGTTCAGTCAGTCCTCTCTGTGTGTTAAAGGAAGATCATATCAAAGCTCTTGGTTTCTCCTCTGATAAAGGTGAGTGTAATATTTTCTTTAATTTTGTTTAATTTTGTTTTCTGATTCGATGATATATAGATTAAATGTATCACTAGCAATGTTAAGTTCACATCTAAAGGGAAACAAGTAGATTTAATATTGTGACTAAAAATAATCAGAGATGAAGTGGATGTATTAACTTGATGCTTCTGCTAAATATGATCTGCCCCAAGACTGTAGCTTTGATTTGTTTATATCTATTGAAACTTTATTCATTTTGTTTGTGTTCCACAAGCCTGCTGGAGAAAAATATGTGGTTTTGTCCTTTTAATCAGCACAGACTCTAAACATTCCATCACATAACAGTCTGTTTAACTCCGCAGCTAATTCCCAAACAATCAGCTCTCTATGGGTGATGAATGGCTTAGAATTTAAATATGAATCTATGCATCAGATATGATTGCTTGTAGTTCGGCCTCTGCTTTTAAATTATAGAAGTTATACAATCCTGGTTTGTACAAAACTTGTACAATTAAACGTCTCTATGGAACTTTTGTTTCTAGAATTCCAATGGTACAAACTCTTCTTCAGTTCAATATTTCAATGTACATATTTAATATTCCCAGCTGTTATTCACTTATTTCTGACAAGTGATTTATATGCTCAGCTACCAGAGCTAAAACAAATTAAAGAAAATAGCTCTATAATCTATAGAAAGGGAACTTAATGTCATCAAATTAGGGTTTGGAATTTCTGAGATTGTTGAGATTTTCCACGTAACCCTTTTCCGCTAAAGATTAAATAAAAATTACAGTGTCTATACATAACAGAAATATCCATATGACATTTACTGATCTTAAATTATTACTGAAAAAAAAATAAACCTTTGGGGAGCAAAGCAGTACTCATTAAACACGAAAAGAATTTACATTTTTTTTTAAAAACTGATGTATTGTTATTATTTAAAATAAAGAATTCATTTAGAGAATGTAGTGGGATACTGAGATAGTTTTGATAGAACATCTAGTTCAATATAATTCAGTGTGAGCTCAGCAGGTTGATGTTTGGTTTCTCAGAAGACAAGACATTATGATTGGCAAGGTGATAGTATTTAGGGAAGAAAATATGTCATTTTGTAATAATGGCTAAAGAAGAGATTAAATGCTTTAAAAGTTTAACAAGATTACATTGTAGATATGATGTATTATGTAAAGGATGCAAAATTCACTGCGGAAATCGTATCATTAGAATGAAAATTATGTTTTATGCTATTAAGTTATTACTCAAGTTAAGTTATAATGAATTAATAACATTCATAAACAGATTGTGCGCTCAGCAGTGAGCTCTAATGAGTTGGAACTAACGTCAAAAACTTACGAAAGTTTGAAAAGGTTGCAAAAAAGTTGTAAAAAAAAACCCCCAAAAAACCTGTATCTTGCTGAATGAGTAAATATATTTTAAGATCTCTGCCAGATTTACCTACATTTTGTGATTCAATTATCAACTATCAACTTGGGTTACTTGCTACATATTGTTATGACGATTATGTCACTTAAAATAAATACGAGACAAGTAAGGGAGTTGCACCACAGATCCTGTACAGTCTAACTCTCATCACTCCCAGGCTGTAACAGTCAGTCAGTCATATAGATCTGTCTTTTTCTATCAAGATGTTACAACCATTGTGAATTATTTACTACATTCATCTAGCTTGAAATTAAACAGGTGCAAGGGTACAATTTATCACTAGAAATTAGATCCAGTGGAAATACATATTGTCAGCAGAAAAAACTGTATTAAATCCAAGATACAAGTTAATTAATTATGAGGAGCTTTCAGGAAAGAATTTAGTGCTTAATGAGCAGCGTTAGTGATATTTCTGCTTTCTATTCTATTTTCTAGAGATTTGTAGGAAATGCTCAATGCAGTAAATGATCTTTAGAATAGAGAAGACCAAAAGGTGTATCACAGCTCAGACTGGCAAAATTCATTTTAAATGTAATTCTGCATTGGCTGGGGATCAATCTTTTGGCCACCGTTGCTTTAAAATGTATTCTTCAATGGCATGGGGCACTTAACTAAGGCGTTGGTTAGTGCTTGTTTATGTATCATAAGTATACATGTATTGGCCGCACTATGCACAATAAATATACATCTACTAACCCATACATATAATTGAATCTATATATATGTATCTAACACATTGCATTTTGTATAAAATTGTATTCTCTTCAAATTACCAGGGTATTATTATTGAAGGGCTGTGGGATAGAGACATACAAAAGGGACTAGAGGGGACAAAGATACACACAAGGGGCTGGGGGGAAGAGACACACAGTGGTTGTGGAGGAAAAAAACAGAAACACTAAAGGGCTGGATGGAAGAGACACACAATGGGAGCTGGGGAAAATAAGACACACAAAAGGGGCTGGGAGGAAAAGACACACATGGGGCTGGGGTGGAAGTGACACACACAGGGGCTCTGTACAAAAATGCACATGAGGGGCTAGGGGAGAGAAACAAACACAGGGGCTTGGGAAGGGGAGAAAGAGACACACAAAAGGGGATGTGGGGAAAGAGACATACGAAAAGGGTTGTGGGGGAGAAAGAGACACACAAAGGGGCATGGGGGGAGTAAGAAACTCACAAAGGGGCTGGGGGAGAAAGAGACACACACAAAGGGGATTGGGGAAGTAAGAGACACAAGGGGAAAATGGGGAGTAAAATACACTAAATGGGGTGTAGGACACAAAAGAGGGGATAAGAAACACAAAAAGGGGTACAAAATGCAAAAGGGGTTAAGAAACACATAAGAAGATGTGTTTTTTTGGAAGGGAGGACGGCAAAATGCATCTTTGTCTGTGTAGCCCAAAATCCTTGCACAAGCCCTATTCACATCTCACTGATTCGTAATTAGTATCATTGAGAAACCTGTGCTGTTTAATCTAGTCTCACAATCTCTCACTTCGAAGATAGACCCTGATTGCAAACTGGGTTAGATTTCCTCCTACCAGATGCTCATTCTCATTCTCAGCATTCTTCAAGAGAGTTTCCCATTAATTTGTGAATGAATGATATCATACCCATGACTTCATTGCACACACATCTGCATGAGTAGCCTTGCAGTCCATTCCTATAGGAAATCTGAGAACTTGCATGTGATGTCACATTGGAGTGCATGATCACTAACATTCCCATAGAAAGCTACGAGAAGTCAGTGATTGGCTGAGAAATGCCCAACAATTAAAAAACAGAGGGGGTGGATCAGAACCATGGGGGAAAAAGGAGAGTTTTTAATTTATTTGTTTTTTTAATGAAATGCATAATTTCCAATAAAAATAACATTACGTTTATTTGCAAAATAGCAAATTGCAGAGAATCGAAAACCTAATTGCACAATCCAGATCTTTTTTCCAACTTGACTCCTTTAGCTTAGTTTCAGCAATTCAGTTTTAAATTCACCACAATCTAGTATTTAGTTAAAAAAAATGCAGTGTAACATTCTAATTAAAACATAAAAAATGCTATAAAGAGTTTGTCACTAAACATCTGGACATCTGGAGAGAATGGATGAGGGAATTGGTTAGTTTACAAGGAATTAATTGATAACAAATTCTCCACTTCTTTTATTTTGACTTAAAATTTGCAATTTACTTGTAATTTACTTGTACTTTCTCGACAATTCCTGTTTCTTTTTTTTTAACTACGTGAACCATGCTAAAACTATATATGTTTGTGTCAGCATGTCCTGTAGTAATATATTATTTATGTATGTATGTATGTATGTATGTATGTGCCAACATGTTCTGTAGTGTTGTAGAGAGGAGCTGTGAAATTTGAGACACACTGAAATCGATGTTATAAAATAGCCTTTTTGTTTAAACAAGTTCAATTTTACCTTGAGGATCTGTCAAGACAAAACAGACTAAACATTAGATGTCCTATTAGATGAGTTATTCTTTTCTAGTCTAAAACATAAAAGGAATATTCAAATAATAAAAATTATATCCTTTATCCAAACGCTCATATTTTTTTCATATGATTTTTTCACTCATCAGTATGATATTAAATTTTTATAGCTTTGCTTATTTTATTTATTTATTTATTTTGTTACATCTCCTAATATTATTGTTAATAGCTTCAGATCCTGCAGTGGTGCACGAAAGATACGATTCACTGATTCCAATTTTTGACCCGAATAATGTTGCAAAATAAACAAAAAAGTTTGATACAAGATGAGTACAATTCACAGGCTCGAGTGGTTGTAATGGTACCCCTATCTCTTTTTAACGTAAATGAGGACTTATCTCATCAGCTGGGAAACTTTCTGTTTGTGTTAATTCCCAAATTAGGTAAAACCTGTCTAAGTTCCACCGAGTAAAACGTTTACAGGGAACCCCTTTTTTGGGGGGATTTTTCTGTAGATAAAACCATGTTAGATATTTCTCCTATTTTTCCTAAGGAAAATAACAGCTGTGCTCCATTTGACAACTAGTGAATTACCCCTTAAATGCATCTGTATGGAGTTATGTATATAATTACATTAGACTGATATGAATATTGGTCAGCGCATCATGTTATAATACCCCATTCACATCTTATATTACAGTTGTCTGCTAGTCCACTGGCAGGTGTAGTGGCCATTAAGTTCAGAGAAGAGGCATCCTCCAACTGGCCAGATGACTAAAAGTAACGGGGAAGACACACGATCAGGGAACAGGATGGAGCGTTTCCAGCAAGGGGTTCGCCAGCGCTCCTTATCGGCAAAAAAAAAAATGCAAAACATAACAAGAGAAGATGTCAAAACCTTTTTCCGTCGGAATGGATTTGTTCTTTTCACTATCTCTGCCGTCATCATTGGTAAGTGTGTAAAAAAATGTATTTCTGTGTTTATATTTACTACCTTGTCTTAACTCTCCCATAAATTGTAAATAAAACTGAATGCAATGTTCAAACTATTAGCTCTTAAGTAAAAATGACAGATCTTTAATGAAATGTCATAAATGTGGTCTGTGCAAGACGTCTGTAGATGTGAAGCGTACCTTTACTGATTTTTCTCAAACTGGTGGAGCTCTATAAACAGCAGTTCTACGTCAAGGTTCTAAAAATGACAGTCAGAAGCAGTCTGAAGAAATATTTAATTACTGTATTTTTCCATGTATAAGCTGCCCCCATGTATAAGACAACACCTATTTTTTGAGCCCCAAATTAAGAAATCAATATTTTAAACATCAAATAGAACAACTTTGATATTTTAGAGGTGACTTCTGAGGAGAACAACACACTTCTGATTCTCATGCCTCCCCTGTGCTACGCTACCCTGTGAAGTTTTTGGCTCTATAGTGCATGCTGGGAGACTACAGCTCCCACAATACATCAGGTGGTTTGAGGGCATGCTGGGAGACTACAGCTCCCACAATACAGCATGTGGTGGGAGGGCATGCTGGGAGACTACAGCTCCCACAATACATCAGGTGGTATGAGGGCATGCTGGGAGACTACAGCTCCCACAATACAGCAGGTGGTGTGAGGGCATCATGGGACTTCACAGTAGTATTCCCTCTGCTCCCTGATACCCATTTTCTCCCCCATAAATATATAAAAAAAGACCTACCTGTGGTGAAGCAAACCTTAATATGGCTGCTTCTTTTATGGTGTGGCATTTCTCTGGATCTCCGTTGGTGGTAAGTGCTGATGTCTGCTGCAGCTCCCACGCATATAGGGACCTCTTCCTCATTCAGAAGCATTCAGAAGTGGATCGGCGGGAGGGAGGCCAGGAATGAGTGTCAGCCAAGGCTCATTGAAATGCGTCAGGCGCCATCTTAACTTAGGCCCAGCGCACAAATGTTTTTTTAAACCCCTGCAGTGACATTCCTTGTATAAGATGACCCCCAATTTTAGACTAAACATTTTTAGAAAAAACATGGTAAAATACAGTAGTTAGCATAGTGACTGCATCAAATTTAGAATTTTGACGAGTGGGGTTTAAACGTAAACCACATAGTAGTTTATGATAAATGCATTGGTACCTGAGACAAATTATTATAGCTAAGCAGAATAAATCTAGCATTAACATGTCAGCTTCCTAGTCCAAGGAGAGATCTGATTGTCATTCTGGGGTTGAGAAGGAATTTTATCCTAGCCAGAGAAATCGGAAAGCGCTTCAGACATAGTCAGATTAATATTGCCAAGGGCCCTAGGCAGCATTCCAGATTGAGACCCCTTCCTAGAGCCCTGGGCCCTTATGCAGATGCTGCCTCACACAGAGGCATACATTCGCAGATACACTTACCTTCATTTATGTTTACTTTCTCACACTTACTCACACATACAGAAACACTCACAGATTCACCATTATAAACATATATTACAAACACAGATACGCAACGCCACACACATAGACACACTGCCACAGATATATCCAAACAGATATACAATGCCACACAGAGATACACATTGCCACATACATATACGTAGATACATACTGCCATACAAACTGCCACAGAGATACACAGCACGTACAAACATATGCACACAGACAAACATATACAAAATCAGATATACAGACACACATATACACATACAGATACTACCATATACATATACACAGCAAATACAAACATACACACAGACATAGTACATATACACCGACATCAATATACATAGATGCATACTACCACACAAGCACACAGATAGATACTACCATACACACTGCCACACACATATACACAGAATATACAAGTATACACACACACAAACAGATACACATACACACATATACACCAGAGGTGTAACTAGAAACCACAGGGCCCCAGTGCGAAAAATGCCCTGGTCCTCCCCCCCATGAATCTCCCGCCCCCCCCACACACATACAGATAAACAGACAAACACACTGACATACATGCAGATACAGACAATATAACACATGCTAATACACAGACTCACAGACAAGCTCACTGACACACATACAAGCTCACTCACTAGCAGGCACACACACACACACACACACACACACACAAACTCACTAGCAGGAACACACACACAGAAGCTCCCTCACTGGCAGATGCACACACACACACAGAAGCTCACTCACTAGCAGATGCGCGCGCACACACACACAGAAGCTCGCTCACTCACTAGCAGATGTACACACACACAAAGACATCCACACACACAGAGGCAGACATGCACACACACAGAGACAGGCAGACAGCCACACACACACACACACACAGGCAGACAGTCACACACACACTCAGGCAGTCACACACACACACAGGCAGACAGTTACACACTCACAGGCAGACAGTCACACACACACACACACACACAGGCACAGTCACACACCTCAGGCAGTCACACACACACACACAGGCAGACAGTCACACACACACACACACAGGCAGACAATCACACACACACAGTCACACACACAGGCAGACACACACACAGGCTGACAGACAGACACACACACAGGCAGTCACACACATACACACTGGCAGTCACACACAAACACACACACACACACACACAGGCAGTCACACACATACACACACTCACATACACACACACAGGCAGTCACACACACACATACAGGCAGTCACACACACACACACACACACACACACACAGGCAGTCACACGCACACACACAGGCAGTCACACACACACTCACAGGCAGTCACACACAGCCATCCTTTGGAGCTCCTGGAGGCTGGTTGTTGGGGAAGCAGGGACTCCTTCCTGCTTCCCATGCTGCAGTTACCAGGGCCCCCGCCGCACAGTAAGCCCTGTCGCACGCTTAGCTCTGCCCCCGCTGCAATATTTTTTTTTACATACCTGGCCGGCCATGTGTGAGCTGTGCCGGCCGCATTGCTCCCCCTGCTCCCATGGGGCCCTGTGCGGCCGCACAGCTCACACATGGCTGGCTGGCATTATAGGAGCCTGATGTTACGCTACTTGGGTGATTTGGATTGGAACTCAACTACAGCTTGTAAAACTCCCTAATTACAATAGTGAAGAAGCGGAGAATCTTCAAAGTATCAATACTGTAGCTTTAAGAAAGGAGAGGATTGCTGGCACTTTGAGAATCAAATGAAGTTTTAATAATTGTTGAACTTAATGAATTGCATTTAGGCAATAATCCAATAAGAATAAGTGAAAGTCATTAAACAATACAAAGTTCATCAATAAGTATTTCCTCAGAGATATATTAAATAAGATTCATTAGGTTGCTAGGAATAATCTTCAATAATGATATTTAGCAGGTAGCAAAGTATTTGCAAAGCAAGAAACAGTTCCTAATGATTAAGCTTGATGGGAGTTATCCTCCATATAATTAGTAGCTTGAAGCAGTGAAGTTTTAAGCAAGCAGTAATAGTTCATCAATAAATGAGATAGACAATAGCTGAAAGGTATACTTAAGGTTAAGGTGAGTTATCCTCCAAGAGTTCAGAGTTATAGTCCACTTGATAATTAACAAGTATCAGTTCTCCAGTAATCCTCCATGGCATGCAGTATCATCCATGTATTAGCTTAAAGGCTAGGATGGCTTGTCAGAGTCTATGGAGCCGGCGTGTATACCAGGAAGTCGGTCCCACATTGTCAGAGCTGGCGAGTATGGAGGAAGTAGGTCACACAATCACCAAGCGTCCTCTCTCTGGCGCGGACTGCTAAAGTACAGTCAGAGCCGAATCAGAGGGGGGCGTGGTCAGCTCCGCATCGCGGAATTTCCGAACCCGGAAGTGTTACCGCATGACACCTGATCACTGATTAGGGCTGTCAGCCCAGCCCCAGGTGCCGCAGCACACCGGGATACACAGACACACATAAAGACACACATAAAGACAGATACACATATAGACACACATGCAGATACACATACATACACATATGCAGACAAACAGATACACATACACCTAAAGACACACAGACACACATGCGGGTACACAGACACATATAAAGACAGATACACATATAGACACACATGCAGATACACAGACACACTTAATGCCAAACATTTGGATACACAGAATGACACTCATACAGATACAAACAGTAACACACACAGATACATAGGGGCATACACTGACACACATGCTGATACACAGACACACTTAATGCCAAACATTTGGATACACAGAATGACACTCATACAGATACAAACAGTAACACACACAGTAACACACACAGATACATAGGGGCATACACTGACACACATGCTGAAGTGGCCCCGGTGGTTATTCCGGAGCTTACTGTGTGGCGGGGGCCCTGGTAACTGCAGCATGAGAAGGAGGCAGGAGTCCCTGCTTCCTCAACAACCAGCCTCCAGGTGCTCCAAGGGATGTAAAGGTAAGAAGGAGGTCAGTGTGTCTGTGTGTGACTGCCTGTGTGTGTGTGTGTCTGTCTGTCTGTCAGCCTGTGTGTGTGTCTGCCTGTGTGTGTGTGTGTGTGTGTGTGACTGCCTGTGAGTGTGTGACTGTCTTCCTGTGTGTGTGTGTGTGTGACTGTCTGCCTGTGTGTGTGTGATTGTCTGCCTGTGTGTGTGTGTGACTGTCTGCCTGTGTGTGTGTGTGTGTGACTGCCTGTGAGTATGTGACTGTCTGCCTGTGTGTGTGTGTGTGTGTGTGTGACTGTCTGCCTGTGAGTGTGTGACTGTCTGCCTGTGTGTGTGTGTGTGTGTGTGACTGTCTGCCTGTGTGTGTGTGTGTGTGTGGCTGTCTGCCTGTCTCTGTGTGTGTGGATGTCTGCCTCTGTGTGTATGGATGTCTTTGTGTGTGCATCTGCTAGTGAGTGAGCGAGCTTCTGTGTGTGTGTGCACGCACATCTGCTAGTGAGTGAGCTTCTGTGTGTGTGTGTGCATCTGCTAGCGAAAGAGCTTCTGTGTGTGTGCACCTGCTGGTGAGTTTGTGTGTGTGTGTGTGTGTGTGTGTGTGCCTGCTAGTGAGTGAGCTTGTATGTGTGTCAGTGAGCTTGAATGTAGAGATCATATGTGTGTGTGCGTGTTAGTGAGCTTGTCTGTAGGGAGCACGAGTGTGTCTGAGCCTGTCTGTGGTGAGCATGTGTGTACAGTGAGCTTTTCTCTAGTAAGCATGTTGGGATCGTGAGCTTGTCTGTGGTGACCATATGTGTGTCAGTAAGCTTATCTGTAGTGAGCATGTGTGTGTCAGTGAGCTTGTCTGTAGTGAATCTGTGTGTTAGTGAGCTCTTCTGTAGAGCGAAAATGTGTGTCAATGGGGTTGTCTGTAGGGAGAGTGTGTGCACATCAGTGAGCTTGTCTGTAGTGAGCGTGTGTGTGTGACAGTGAGCTTGTCTGTAGTAAGCTTGTGTGTGTATCAGAGTTTGTCTGTACTAAATTTGTGTGTGTGCCAGTAACCTTGTCTGTGTGTGTCATTGAGATTGTCTGTCAATGAGCCTATTTGTGTGCATCAGTAAGATTGTCTGTGTCTGTATGTGAGTATGCTTTACTGTATAATTTGTATACCCTGAAAGGACTAATATATATTATTGATACATTTCTTCTTCTAATTCAAAATATAATATATATATAGATTGTGAAAGAAACGGCAGCACTCACGGTCTCCACTTAAAATCTTCTTTTATTTGCAAGATTAAAACATGGATCAACATTTCAGTCCCTAAGTGAGACTTTCTTCAGGATCAATATCATATCATATTGATCCTGAAGAAAGTCCCACTTAGGAAATTAAATGTTGATCCATGTTTTAATCTTGCAAATAAAAGATTTTAAGTGAAGACCGTGAGTGCTGCCCTTTCTTTCACAATCTGGATACCAAAGTCCCAGGCTTAAGCACCCAGCAAGTATATACCACTGGAGCCTGTGTGCAAGGATTTTCCCAGTATTTATATATATATATATATGTATGTGTGTGTGTATATATATATATATATATATATATATATATACATATATAACACACCCTACATAGCACAATGACTTATGGGGCTGGCATAGATTTTTTTCCGGGGCTGCTTCGTATCCCCAGTCCGGCCCTGTGTAAAACCAGCAGTTTGACAAAAGATGGAGCTTTGTAAAGCTCCACGTTCTTTGTCAACTTTACTATTGGCCATGTGTATACTCACCCCCATCCAGCACCACATCACTTTCTGAAGCAGCATGTCAACGACCATTGCTTGCAGACAATATCACAACCCAAGCTCTACGAGAACCAAAGCAATAGGTGGCTGGAATCTGCATATAAGGAACATTTCAATTAATGCCAAATCAATCCTGGACCAAAATGCCATGCAGTGTTTAACGGTACCATTCATCATATTATGACAACAAAACCAAATTGGTACACTGATGGCAGTTGCCATTATGTACAAGGGAGGAGGATATTTTTTATTTATTTATAAAATATTTTACCAGGAAAGATACATTGAGATTTCTCTTGTTTTCAAGTATGTCCTGGGTCCACAAAATATTGCATTTATACATTATAGTACAATAAAATACAAAAACAATATTAATTCACAATATATACAAAATTTAACATAGAAAGGGTAAGAAATATATAATCAACCATGACAGGTGCATTCTGTTTTGAGGTATGTAGAGAGGGATCTCTTAAAGGACTTTAGGCTTAGGGAAGATTTTAAATTGTGCGGGAGGTCGTTCCACAATTGCGGTGCTCTGTAGGAGAAGGAGGATCGGGCCGTTTTCTTTTTGTATTGAGGTAGACTAAATAAAGTGTTGGTACTGGATCGGAGTTTATAGGAAGTGGGAACAGTTGGGGAAAGCATTTTGTTCAGGTAGGGTGGGAGTTTCCCAGAAAAGCTCTTAAACACAAGGCTGGAAAGATGAAGGGTGCGTCTGGATTCCAGTGACAGCCAGTTTAGTTCTTATAGCATGTCACAATGGTGGGTCCTGTAATTACATTGTAGCACAAATCGGCAGAACAAGTTATACACTGTATTGAGTTTATTAATGTGGGATTGCGGTGCAGATGCATATACTACATCCCCATAATCAATGATTGGCATCAGCATTTGCTGTACAATCTTTTCCTTTAGTGTAGGGCTTAGGCAGGATTTATTTCTGTACAGGGCACCTAGTTTTGGATAAAGTTTAGATGCAAGCTTTTCTATGTAGAGGCCATAAGATAGATTGGGGTCTAACAACATACCCAGGTATTTGAAAGAGTGGACTGCGGTCAGTGTGCTATTTGAATTTGTTTTGATGGATAGGTGGGAATTTTGTAATATATGTAATTTAGGTACTGTTCCAAAGATCATTGTGACACTTTTGTCAGTGTTTAGGAAGACTTTGTTTTTTGTGATCCACTTTTTTACCTCTGTAAACTGGTCTTGGAGCACAGTCTCAAGCTGCGGTAGATTGGATTTGCTCGCATAGATACTCTGTCGTCTGCGTATATGTGTACATTTGAGGAGACATTAGGCAGATCATTTATAAATCATCTAAATAGTAGGGGGCTGAAAATGGAACCTTGGGGAACACCACACATGACTGGGAGAGGGAGGGAGTCGCTATCAGAAATGGGCACATATTGTGAGGGATCCGATACATATGATCGAAACCAGGTTAGTGAACAATCAGCAATACCTGAGTTTTTGAGTTTGTGCAGTAGAATGTCGTGGTCTACTATGTCAAAGTCCTTTGCGAAATCAAGGAAAATAACTCCAGTTAGGTCTCCTTGTTCCATGCCAGTTTGGATGTCATTGCATACTTTTAAGAGGGCAGTTGTAGTGGAGTGATTCGGGCAAAATCCCGATTGATCATGGGTCAGATAGTTTGATTGTTGGTAGTACTCACATAGTTGCATATGGACACATTTTTCAAAGATTTCTGACAATACCAGGAGCAGTGATATTGGGCGATAGAAACCAAAGTAGTGTCACCACTGTTATGGATAGGCACTACTCTCGCAGTCTTCCAAAGTTTGGGTATGTATCCAGACACCAAGGATAAATAGGGTTGCCACGGGTTTAGCAATTGCCGGCGCAATGAGCTTCAACAGCATTGATGCTTGATAAGTTATATCATTATTTAAGTTCAAGATCAAAGCTTACTCTGCACTGTATACATAATTGCCTGGGATCATTGAATAAAAAGGAAAAAAGTAATTAAAAAAAAGTACATTAGCTATTGTTCTTGATAATGATTGGGTCTTCAGAGGAACATGTCTAATGTTAAAATGGTGGGAGAATAACCAGTTCTTAGCCTAAGACGGATCCCGTGTTAAGTTCCAAAACTTACAGCAGCTAATGGAAAAAGTATCTCAGAACTTTAAAATGATTAACATGATCAAAGTTCAGGCACACAAGAAAACAGTAATCAATATAAAATATTCCCTCATCGTTATATGGAGGGAGTGACCAAAATATTATTAAAAACAAATAATCCTGTAAACCATCCAACTCACATTTTAATGAGTCCATAATATTGACTATTGGTTTTTGTATCTTTAGGGAAGTAAAAGCCCTTCTTCTGAATGTTGTAGCAATACCTCAAGGCATAAAAAAATCTGTCTTTAATGCATACAATACATGGATAAAAAAATTAAAAATAACACCTTCTAAGGAACCCAAATTGACCTTGCTTCTGGTCAGCTTAGGTGTTAGTAATGGGTAGCACCAAACACCATTATTTCAGGAACCCCAAATGGCAGTCCTAAAAGACTCTGCAGAAAATCTTTATCATTGACAATTCCAGCTAAAACATTAAGAAATTAAAAAATCATTAGCATGAATCCAATAATTATTTTTGGTTTGAAGGTGACTTTTATCTGCAGACTTGCATTATGTTGAGGGGGACCAGGTTTGCACCCAGCTATACCTACCTTTTTATGTCCTTTGGGAACATGTAAGCCAGGGGGATAGCTGGGTGGAGAACATGGTCTCCTATTATTTTAATATAGAAGACTTGTTCTTTTTTTGGAGGGGATGCAAAAATTCCCTGGCTAGTTTTTTAGAATACCTTAGTCTTCATGATTGGGGATTTGTTTCAGCGTATATTTTGAAGTCATTAAATTGAGAACAATCACATAAAAACAAAACAAAAAAATGAGATGTAAACAGTTATATTGAATAAACCAGTTGGCATTTCTCTTCTTTGTTTGCGAATGCACCAAAAGCACAGTTACTTAGAGTAAGAAAAGGAAGAAACTGCACTGAACTATATACCTTCAATGCACAAGCCCTGATCATTAATAAAGATTTCAGGGTATGATGAGAACCTGTTAGAAAAGGCACATGAAGAGGTTAGTAGGAGTGATAGGGAACAGCTTATCCAATATAAATAATAAAAGAAAAGAGAGGACCAAATAAGCTTTGTGTACAACTTCAATTAAAACAAGAACATTAAAGAAATATTGGCCTATTCTTAGAAATGACCTTTTGTAAAATGATATCCTTCCAGAAAAAAGACAATAGTTGGGGCTCTTAATCTTCAACATAGATTGCTGCAGTTATATTGAACCTAGAACGAATCATCATTTTTTAATAAATCAAAAGTTTATTTTGTATGTAGTTTATGTATCGCATGTACATACATAGGTAACTCAAAACACTGTGTAAGAAACTTTAAAAACGCAGGGAAAAACAAACATCCATAATAGAACAATTGAGAAAATGTTATTCTAATAATGTGATGCCCATGTAATTAAATATTAAAAATGGATAAAGCTTGATAAAGGCTAAATTTGAGGTTGAAACTTGGCTTCTGTTACTTCATGCAATAATTTCCATTGAATCTGCAATTTGACTGTCCTTGAGTGTCTGGATCTATTTAGTTTTTCCATGGATATATTGGAGTTTTCCAGCATCGGGTCCAGATTTGCACCCTGGAGTGACAACTAAGAGGAGTGAAGTTCCCTTTTCTTTCTTATAATGTCCAATGTCTTGAAAGAACTTTGTAGGATGGCAGGTATAGAACTTCAACATCACATCCAGGGCCGGACTGGCCCATTTGTTTAGTGGATAACCCTGCCCTTCTCTCAGTCTTTCATTCCCATCAAACTATATCCAACCCAGAGTGTATTCATACGATTGAGGACTAAACAGAATAAGATTAATTTAAATCAGACATGCAGCAGCAATCAGTCAATGTTTCATTCCCATTACTGGACTATTCAAGTTATGGGGATGAAATGTTGGGTAAATCATTTTCAATCTTTTGTGTTTTTCAACCTGTAGTTGGCACAATTAATGTTAAGGCTGGTGTAAAAAACTTCCATGGCTGCTTTTAATTCCCAGTCCGGCCCTGCCTGCTGCCATACACACTGTCATTAATAAGGAAAGTCAAACACAGACAAACACACACACATTGAACTCTGTTTTAGCCAGCCCTTCTTTGCCTATCTTTGTGCTGGGGAGGGTGGCCTCCCTGTGGTCCAGTGGTGCAGACAATGAGAGGATGCAGGCTGTGTAGCAGGGCTCTCTCTTACTTCTTGTGTGGCTGTCTTCTTGTGCTGGTTGGAAGTGGCATCATGATATCACTTTCTCCCAGTGCTGCCGCACAGTAAGGCAATAGTGTCCTGCTGTTCTCCCCTCTGGATCCACAGGCTAGTGTAGAACCGCACAGAGAGATCTCTTGATCTCCCTGTTGGCACAGATATGGGCATAGAACCCAGATGAACATACAGAGCTGGAGTCCCAAGTGGGCCCCTGTCTTAGCCTGGGCCCTAGGCGGACTCCTATTCCACATTGTGGGTAATCCGGCTCTGGCTTAAACTGTGGGGGATTGTTTGCCTTTGTTACGGAGCTCCCTGTACTCCGACTGAGTACCCTCCGTTGACGGATGCTCCTAGCGCTTCCTGAGGACTCCAAGCGCTGCAGCAGACACCACAACCACCACAGACTCCGCAACCGCCGTATCTTGACTGGAGTCTCGCCGTCTTCCTTCCACCCTGGATCAGCTTCTGTCCTCCAGGACTGTGTGGGAAAGAACTCTTCCTTCCACCCTGTATGAACCTCCAGCATCCATGACTGTGTGGTGAAGACCCCTCCTCCAAGGAGAGCGTGTCAGGAACAAGCTCTTAAAAGAGCTAAGTAACTCAAGCTCAGGGGAGCATGCAGAGCATAGCAATCCCCAGTGTGATTATAACAGCTCCCTCCAATAACAAGACAAGGCTACGTTTAGAGGGATCAAGAAGAACAGTCAAAACCTTTATTTCCCTTGGGACCAGCCAATAGGGTCACCACAATAACATTGTTGTGAAACCTCAATAAAATCACAAACAGTCAAACCATATCAAGCAACACACAGTGACTTATCAAAACACAATGGCACGTTTTTAAAGGGGTGGGGGGAGACAATATTTAACAGTAAATATCTCACCTGCCTGCAGAATTAGCAATATGCAAATCTACCCGAATATGCAAATGAACCAGTCTTGCAATTCAGGTAGTGCATATTGCTGTTGCTACCAACAAGCTCCATAGCCAAACCCACCTAGTTGGTAGCAAACCTCAGCAATACAAGAGAGCAGGCAATACATTACACAGTACACACATATACACTATAAACAATTACATAACACACACCCTGCACCTATAATGGGTACAGGGTGACTAAAAAATAAGATAAATAAAGCAGCCTACATAAATAGTCTGTCTGAAGGTAGACTAGGGGCTTTAAAGCCAGATACATGAAAGAGTCATAGTCACAGGGGAGGAGGCTGGCAAGTAGGCCTCTCCAGGACCAAGTGGCAAAGGGCACTTCGTCACATATCTCCCCTTCGGGGGGAAGACTAACCAGGCACCTGACTTTCTGTCGGTCAGTGCCTAAGTTAGTCGAGTCACCCACCGACCAAGTGCCAGAGTAGCCCATCCACAACAAACAGTTATTAGAGCAGCCCACCCACAGCAAACAGTGACTGCACCTGGGTATTCCTCTGGGGTGATGGGGCAACATGCTGTGGGGACTTGAGGGGCAGAGGCCAGCGGCGCTCTGCCCTGATGCCAGCGCTTCTGCTGGGAGGAGGGGGGTGCAGGTCAGTCCTGTGACAAGGGGATCGGTAGGGCAGAGGCCAGCGGCGGTCTGCCCTGATGCCAGCTCTTCTGCTGGTATAGCCTGCAGGACATCAGGCTCTGGACAGGGGACAAAGGGAGGGCAGAGGCCGACTGCACTCTGCCCAGCTGCCAGCTCTTCCGCTGGGGGCTTGGGACATAGTCCGGCTCAGTAGCCAGGGGAACGTGGGGGTCAGTGGGGGTTAACATCTCCCCTGTTAACCCTGGGGCCAAGTTAGGAGTTAGCTGGGGAGGGGAATTCGTACTTACCCCCTCCTCCTGTTGTCCCTGTGAGGGTAGTTGGGGATCTGGACAGGCTGTCCAGCATCCCTGTAGGTCGGGCACAGAGACCACGGTCCCCTCTGCGCCATCTGGGAGATTGGTGTCTCCCCTTGGTAGGGTAAGCTGCCGCTGGGGAGATAGGGTGCTGTGCTCCTCTCCCTGAAACACAGGCTGCCGCTGGAGAGGGAGACCGCCTGTCTCCACTCCCATAACATTGTCCTGCTGCTGGAGAGAGAGACCAACTGTCTCTGCTCCCTGTAGGACACACTGCCGCTGGGGAGGAAGGACGACACCTTTGGCTCCCTGTAACTTGCACTGCCGCTGGGGCGGAAGGACGACACCTTTGGCTCCTGTAACTTGCACTGCCGCTGGGGAGAGAGACCAACTGTCTCTCCTCCCTGTAGGACACACTGCTGCTGGGGGGGAAGGACGACACCTTCGGCCCCCTGGAATTCGCACTGCCGCTGGGGAGGAAGGACGACACCTTCGGCTCCCTGTAACTTGCACTGCTGCTGGGGAGGAAGGACGACACCTTCGGCTCCCTGTAACTTGCACTGCCGCTGGGGAGGAAGGACGACACCTTCGGCTCCCTGTAACTTGCACTGCCGCTGGAGACTAGGTGTCCATATCCTCAACCTCCACAGTTGTCGCTCAAAGGCCATTGCCGCACTGTTCTCAGCACTCAACTGGCGCATTACTTGGTGGACCACCTCGTTCGAAAGGTCTGGGCCATAGCAGACCAACCGCCTCTTTACCTCCTCAATGTAAGCGTCGTCCTCGTAGCGACGTATCATGTTGAGGTGCTCTTCGCAGGGCTCTATCCATCCCTGCTCCATACTGCTGTAGTTAGGGACGCTGCACAGTGGCTAGCGTTGCCCTCAATAACCTCTCATACGATACCAGTGTCTCCTCGCTGCTTCTCCTCGCACTAGGACGCCATCCCACCGCTGCCACCAATGTAACGGAGCTCCCTGTACTCCGATTGAGTACCCTCCGTTGACGGATGCTCCTAGCGCTTCCTGAGGACTCCAAGCGCTGCAGCAGACACCACAACCACCACAGACTCCGCAACCGCCGTATCTTGACTGGAGTCTCGCCGTCTTCCTTCCACCCTGGATCAGCTTCTGTCCTCCAGGACTGTGTGGGAAAGAACTCTTCCTTCCACCCTGTATGAACCTCCAGCATCCAGGACTGATTGTGATTATAACAGCTCCCTCCAATAACGAGACAAGGCTACGTTTAGAGGGATCAAGAAGAACAGACAAAACCTTTATTTCCCTTGGGACCAGCCAATAGGGTCACCACAGTAACATTGTTGTGAAACCTCAATAAAATCACAAACAGTCAAACCATATCAAGCAACACACAGTGACTTATCAAAACACAATGGCACATTTTTAAAGGGGTGGGGGGAGACAATATTTAACAGTAAATATCTCACCTGCCTGCAGAATTAGCAATATGCAAATCTACCCGAATATGCAAATGAACCAGTCTTGCAATTCAGGTAGTGCATATTGCTGTTGCTACCAACAGAGGGCACTAGACAAGCTCCATAGCCAAACCCACCTAGTTGGTAGAAAACCTCAGCAATACAAGAGAGCAGTCAATACATTACACAGTACACACATATACACTATAAACAATTACATAACACACACCCTGCACCTATAATGGGTACAGGGTGACTAAAACATAAGATAAATAAAGCAGCCTACATAAATAGTCTGTCTGAAGGTAGACTAGGGGCTTTAAAGCCAGATACATGAAAGAGTCATAGTCACAGGGGAGGAGGCTGGCAAGTAGGCCTCTCCAGGACCAAGTGGCGAAGGGCACTTCGTCACAGCCTTCTTTTGGATCAACAGCATAAATAGATGTATAAAAGGCTGAACTGGATGGGCTCAAGTCCGATTCCAGCCCATATAGCTATATATGTAACACAAACACGTTTCCTATACCTGGTGTCAGTCATGCAGAACATATTGTATTATGCTTCCTGTGTCTGAAAACATTGCTGGATAATAATAATTTATGAATAAAGTATTTGATTGTGCAGATTTTAGTTCATAGTAAAATTGTCTATTTATCATTCTGCTTTATAGATCTGTGTTTATTTCAGTGTTTTTAAATAATAAAGAGTATATGGTATTTGTGCACACTCTCCTCGTACTGTGTATCAGGCAGCTTTTACTTTTGCACAGCTTTGTGGTTGCCATGTGTGAACTCCATGGGGTCCACCACCACTACCTCATGGACCCTGCTGCAGTGAGTTTGGTTGCTTTTTCATAGTTCTGTGAAAGATCTCTGAGTGACATCACAGATACAAGGAGTGCTTGGTGCTGTAGGCCTGTCTTCAGCGTAGCTCTGCATAGTGCCTTTGTGTTGTAATAATGCAGGTTACTTTATACATAGTTCCAACCCATGTATTGGGCACCTATTCCAGCAAAAATGCGTCCCGGGACCTATCTCACATTACGATGGTTGAACTATAAAGTCCACTGGATACAGAAATTGGAATAGCCAATTAACAAGCCAAGGTCAAAATACACAAGAATCAATACTAAAAAGGCGCTCTCGAAAACCACGATGGAAAACACGACAGGGCACTGATAAATGGACAAAAAAGGTTTAAATAGCCTAAGGTGCTCTTAGATTGTTTGTAGAGGAGCAGTGTAACGGGTGTGTGTGATGTCACAAGCACGTTCCCAGTGGTTAGGGACCAATGGGTTAACTAAGGAGGAGGAGGTAAGTAATCGGCGGCATTCCCATTGCCACGTGGGAATGCCGCCGCAACAAGATGCGTCCGCTGGGTCCCAGACCACTCTCTGACAGGAGCAGATCCAGCGGGCACCATGACAGTTTAACTTTATCTGTGTTTAATTGATTTTCTGTGTGCAACTGAGTAGGTGTGTCAGTGTGCATATATATCTGTGTGTATGTCATTGTAAGCTTATCTGTACATCGGTTTGTGTATTTGTCACAAAGTGTCCCTGGAAATCTTTTTCAACTATGCTTAGCATTCCACATAATTTCCTTTCCATTAGGCATCAGTCATCTCCTTATTGATAGATGTGAGCAACAAATGGGTGGAAGTCATTATTTTTGTTGTCACACTTGTGGAGAGCAGAAGATATAGATAGTGGCATGGGGAATGACATCCTAAAGTTATGTAGGAAGATTTTAGAGTGATTTAATTGGAATAAGCAGATCTACTGGGTCTCAAGGTAGGGAGCAAGTTCTCGCGGTAAAAGGGCAGAAATTTCTGATTCTCAGATTGAATGAGCAAAGTTTCATGGGTGAATGGGCAGGTTCTCTCTCCAGAGACCATGAACCATTCAATAAAGCAGACTAGAGTCTGCAATTTATTAGCGCAGGACACTATAACTAATAGTAAAAATAGATAGTCATATTATTTTGACAGATTGGTCCATACATTTGCAACATAACAAAACATGACTTTAAAGTCCCATTGAATTATCATTCTTGTGCTAGACAATTTGTGGCATAGTGTCCTCACCAGTCTATATATGCATACAAATGTAAAGGGACAGTCCAGTCCCCTAAGGCAGGGGTGGGCAAACTGCGGCCCTCCAGATGTTTTGGACTACATCTCCCATAATGCTCTTAGGGCCATAATGCTAGCAAAGCATCAAGGGAGATCTAGTCCAAAACACCTGGAGGGCCACAAATTGCCCACCCCTGCCCTAAGGTATTTTATCTTATCAAAGTGCTTTATATGTTCTAAATTAAACACAATTTGCAATAAAGGAAGTGTAAACATCAAATGACTATTTACAGGAAGTGTTTAGGAAGGCTATGCAAGTCACAAGCAGTGTGGGGTGTGACTAGCTGTGTATAAACAAAGTGATTTAACTCTTAAATGACAGAGAATTGAGCAGTGAGACTGCAGGGGCATGATCTATACATCAAAATGTCTTAATTAAGATAAAGTTGTTTTTGGTGACTGTAGTGCCCCTTTAGAGAATTGACCCACATATTGTAATGCATTATATAGTTAAAAATGATGCAAAAACATTAAATATAAAATAAAAAAATGACTTTGAAAGATCTGACTGCTATTACACAGTAATAATCGGTAGCAGGCAGACTCCCATACCAGGAAAAGACCTCATCACTGAAAAGCTTCTTGCTTTGTTCTACTTGGCCTGATTTCATCCCATAAATATCTGTCCAGTGGAGCTTTTATGGGATAAGTTTATTTTCCCAACAGCAGTTCCTCTCAACATATATAATAAATGGAATTGATTTAACCCCTAAAGGACGGAGCCAAATGTACACGTTGTGAACAAAACAAAACGTAAACAAAACCTGGCATTTGCGCTACATGTCTGTCCAACCGTAATTCACCTCTTTCATATTAAATGCACCAACCCTTATTATATATCATTTTATTCAGGGGAAACAGGGCTTTCATTTAATATCAAATATTTAGCTATGAAACATAATTTAATATGAAAACAATGGGAGAAAATAAGATTTTTTAAATTTTTTTAGTTCTACATGACATTTTAACTGTTAATGTCATAATACTGTTTTCTTTTACTGCAATAAAATACACATATTTGTATTTAGCAAAGTCTCACTTGTAAAACAGTACCCCCTATGTACAGGTTTTATGGCGTTTTGGGAAGTTACAGGGTCAAATATAGCACGTTACATTTGAAATTGAAATTCGCCAGATTGGTTATGTTGCCTTTGAGACTGTATAGTAGCCCAGGAATGAAATTTACACCCATAATGGCATACCATTTGCAATAGTAGACAACCCAAGGTATTGCAAATGGGGTATGTCCAGTCTTTTTTAGTAGCCATTTGGTCACAAACACTGGCCAAAGTTAGCGTTAGTATTTGTTTGTGTGAAAAATGCAAAAAACGCCAATTTTGGCCAGTGTTTGTGACTAAGTGGCTACTAAAAAAGACTGGGCATACCCTGTTTGCAATACCTTGGGTTGTCTACTATTGCAAATGGTATGCCATCATGGGGGTAATTTTCATTCTTGGGCTACCATAGGGTCTCAAAGTCATCGTAACCAATCTGGCGAATTTTAATGTGAAAAAAATGAATCACAAGCCTTATATTTGACGCTGTAACTTTTGAAAACACCATAAAACCTGTACATGAGGGGTACTGTTGTACTCGGGAGACTTCGCTGAACACAAATATTTGTGTTTCAAAACAGTAAAAAGTACCGCAGCAATAATATCGGCCGTGTAAGTGCTGTTTGTGCGTGAAAAATGCAAATAACGTCACTTTTACTGGCGATATCATCGTTGTAATACATTTTACTGTTTTGAAACACTAATATTTGTGTTCAGAGAAGTCTCCCGAGTAAAACAGTACCCCCCATGTACAGGTTTTATGGTGTTTTGGAAAGTTATAGGGTTAAGTATAGTGCTAGCAAATTAAATTCCCTTTACTTTTGGCATGGGTTGTCAGGCAGGTGCCGCTAATTGTAATTAATTAAGATACCTAATTATGTAAAAATATTACATAAATATATATGTAGAATTAATATATGTATATATATATACATATGTGTATATATATGTATATATATATATATAATTTTTTACAAATATTTTTATTTATATATAGGTATATATATAGTGATATATACGTATATATTTATGTATATAGATATATATATTATTTTGTTCTACGTGTATTTTGATATAAATATATATATATTAATATCACAATACAGTTAGAACAAAATAACACACATCTATATATTTTTTAATTTAAAAAAAAATTGTTTTGTTTTTTACGTATTTACATATTTAATTTCTTTATATTATATATAAATATATATATGTATATAACAATAATTATATAAATATTTAATCAGTATCAGTCTACGTGTAATTTGATATTAATATATATATAATTATATATATATCAATAGTAAAATACACCTAGACAGTGTACGTGTGTGTATATACATGTGTATATATATATATATATATATGATCTAAGTATATAATTTTTTTTTACACTGATTTTAACTTAATTTTATTTTATTTCCAGCCAGCAGGGGGACTACCTGTCATTACAGGCAGCCCCCGTGCTGGCAATGCAGCAGCCAGCTAACCTGGCCATGTGATTGTGAGGTCCTCGCAAGGACCTCACTCTCACATGGCTGGGGGGCTGCAGGAGGGAAGATCTGCCGCGGGGGGCTCCCTGGGAGTCCGGGTAAGTAAAGAAAAACTGGAGGGCGTACTATGACGCCCAGAGGCGTTTAGAGCCACCTAAAATAGGGCGTAATAGTACGCCCTCCGGTCTGAAGGGGTTAATAACTGAGACTTGCCATCGTAAGGCCTGGATTGACAACGTTTGGCCTGGGGGCAAGTACAAGTAAATAGTTATTTTCTTGGCACAAAAATAATAGACACAGCAGGTGCTGGTGACGTTTTAAGATGGTGGGGCACTAGACTCACCCCCAGAATTTTATTCCTCCCTATACATTACAGAGATGCTCATACAATACAGAGAGCTGAGCATAATACAGATATGCTCATACAATAAAACAAGTTGGGCTTCTGCAATGATACCTTTAGCTTTCCATTAAATATTGCTGTTATAAAACGTCAGCTACTCCAACAGCTCTCAGCACACAGTGCACATGGGGTTAAAACAGCAGGATACTGATTGACTCCTTATTACCTTTGCAGCTGGCAATAATTAATCTGCAGCGGTAATATGGAGTCAATAAGTAACTGGCATGGTTAACATAATCAACAATCATTACAGATTAAAACAGACTGTATTTAGAATCAGATCAGTCCTCCAAGTCACAGCCCCGGTCCTGCAACTAGCCACAGCATGTGTGTGTCAGGTCTCAGCTGTAGAGTGATTGAACATGTTAAAGAAGATGGTGAATATGTGCAGTAGGAGTTATTAAAACTATTAGTGACAGGCAGCACAGTGCTCTGTGTTAGAAATGTTCAATTCCACTAGTCACCTCTGGCTTTTTATACATAGTAATTATCTATTTGAGCAAATTCTCTTGCTTAATCAGTTCTCAGGCAGTCGCTGTGGCTATTTGGGGGAGAAGAAAAGATAATAATTCCACTTACATTTGGCAGTGGCAGTAGCTGTGCTACTTCCAAGATGGCTTTTTGCGTCTATCTCACATGGGCACTTCAACCACATCCCCTGGTGCTATCAGCCAATGATAGCCCCCGATTAGAGAAGTCAAGAATTGCCTTCCCTCGTGGGCAACTGGCTCTGCTGCCAAATGGCAACTAAATGGAAATTCCTGAGATTTATTTCTTAAAGGACACTAGGCATGTGCAAAACCTGCTAAAACAGGGCACATTTTAAACTAGTCCCTCTTTCTGACATGCCTAGATGTTCTCTCAAGTAAGCTTCTCCAAACAGCTACAAATGAGGGGGTAGGGATCCAGCAGAACTGAAACCTATGACATAATTAAAGTGACACTCATTTTTTCACATATTTGTTTGGCTTATCACACTCCCCTCCATAAAAAAGTGTTTTTAAATTGAAAATAGTTTCCCCCGACATAAAAACTAAGGTGGTGCTGCTCCAAGTGCCCCAATGGATGAGCCTCTATTGAGACACAGTATGATGTCCAAATAAAGTGCAAATATATTAATTATAATATATAGTATATTAAAGGTTCTCTCACATCACATATGATAACATTACATCACTTTAAATATAAGTGATGCAAAAAAGAGTTATTAAAATGGCTCTGTCTTCCCCCTCCCCCACCAAAGTTTTTCAAAACGATAAAATATCTAAAATTCAAATGCAGTCAAAACATATCATAAGACAAAATAGAAACTACTTTGTCTTGTGCATTTTCCCTCCATTTTACTAAACTTGACAAAAGGCAGAGCTACCACCGTCAAGTGTTGTCAGTTCCCCCAGCCATGATTAGTGACAGCTGTGAGAGAAAAAGCATTATCTATGGAGGCTCCCACAATCTTGCAGGATCATCTATAGACATCCGTGTTGCACTCTTGTGCATCCGCAAGAGTACAGCACTGATGTGGGCTCCTGTCAGATGAAGCCCCGGGAGCTAAAGAGCATAATAACAGCAGCCATGAGGATCAGCTTCAGGTAAGTAAAGCCTACATTCCCCCAGACCACCACACACCAAGCAGCAATATCACCTTTGGAGGACTTTGCAAAATATGCACAAAATCCAGAAGGTGGCAGTGCCACTTTAATAGAGAACTGATTTATAATCACATAGGGTACAGCTCCTATAGATGTAGTTTGTATTTTGCTACAAGGTGATGGGTAACACAGGATACAATGTATCTTCATCCCAATACCGATACATTTTTAGAGAGATTAAACACTTACAAGTCTGTGGGAACAGAACCTCCTGCTCTTGAGAAGCACAAACTGGTTGCCATTATGCAGAAAAACTCACCAATGTAGCAGAAAATGGAAACAGAAGACTGATAACATGAAATACATGTTTTATTCCAAATGCACAAATAAAAACAAAATAAAGATGAGAACGACCAAAAAGTGTGTGGGCACCGTGGGTGATAAAAGCACAGCCCCTTGGGAAAAAAAAACTTCACATTCTTAACAGTAAAGGGACATTTCACTGCCCAAATGTAAAAATTTTTTTTACAAAATCACTGTTTAGTCCTGCATTTAATTATGCATTTTTTTTCATTGGTGATATGTTAACTTGCAGAAACTGCAGTCTGCTGCCTTTACAAGCCCTCCCCTTCTAACCTCACCCAGACTTTCTGTGGCTGTCCAATCAAAGTCTTCCCAATGCAGCTCAATGTGAAGTCTTGGCAAGGCTTGGCTCTGATCAAATGCTGCCTCTTGAGTTTAGCTCCAGTGAATGAAACAACCAGGAAGTAACAGGACTTGTTGTCTGATTGACAACACAAGGGGTGTAACAAGGTTCATTTATAAAATTGCAAATTTCTTTTAAATATACCCTTTTTGGATGACAAAAAGAGGACACAGTCTTCACACATAAAGCACTTCAGCAAGTTAAACTGCTGTAGGGGTCTTGAGTGACCCTTTGGTATTTGGGCAGTGAAATGTCCCTTTAATGTTAAGAATGTGGAGTTTTTTTCCCAAGGGGCTGTGTGTTTATCACCCATGGTGCCTGCACAATTTTCTCATCTTTATTTTGTTTTTGTTTTATTTTGTGCTTTTGGAATAAAAATTGTATTTCACTTTATGAGTCTTCTGTTTCCATTTTCAGCTACATTGCCGAGATTTTCTGCATAATGACAGCCAGTTTGTGCTTCTTTAAAAAGTGTAACCATGCCTAAAATTGTTCACCTCAAACCCTGCCTTGGATTACATGTTTTATCTGAACACCTCCATTCGATGCCTAGTTTTGGCTTCTGGTAACCATTTAATGCTAAAGTGTAAATAATTCATATGAATGTGTACTTAGCATGTTCATATTCTCCAGTAACATGAAAAAATGAAAATATCTGCAATTTCCAGTTTTATGTAGAGTAATCAATTGATGTAATAATATATTTGGGGATTTGTTGCCAGTGTTGGTGGAAAGTTTTACCGACCAGCCATTACTTGCTAATCTAACTATCTCTATCCTTAGCAAGTAGCAGATGTTTCTCAAATGTGTAATCAACAGTTACAAACACCATACATTATAGGGAGAGCGCCTGTTGGCCACACTTGTCTCTCTCTATTAACAATATTAAAAAATGTAAAAAGAGTAGGAATCTCTGGGCCCCAGTAATATTGGTTAGGGGCCTGACAATTGGCCCTGGGTTAAAGGGTGATAATCAAGCCCTGGAGACGCACAGTCTCTTGGGCTCCTTTTATTTACATTATTATTATTATTATTATTATTTTATTATTTATATAGCGTCAACAAATTCCGTAGCGCTGTACAATGGGTGGACTAACAGACACATAATTGAGATCAGACCACTGACATACAGGAACAGAGGGGGTTGAGGACCCTGCTCGATGAGCTTACATGCTAGAGGGAGTGGGGTATAGTGACACAAAGGGTTAAAGTAGGGGAATTAAATAGTTTGTTACAGAATGGTTTATTGAGTGCTTGGCAGGTCATTTTTGACAGGTGCAGGAACGGAGTCATGGGGTGGGGGATGAGAAACCTGCTGACATCCATAATAGTACAATCAGTGCTTAGTGGTTTGGATTGTTCCTTTAAGAGATTTAGTTTTATGCATTATCCTATAAGAAATAGACCTGTTGAATTATTAGGACCAATGTGAAACAAGCACGTTACTAATATATATTAGAGGAATGGGATGGAAGTAAATTAAAAAGTATTGCTATAGGTGTAAAAGGCAGGAAATGCTCCCAGTGCCAATAAGTTCCTTTCAGCATAGTAAATTGAAAGCCGTCTTAAATGGAGAAAGGATGGATTTTTTTAAACCAATACATGGACCACCCAAGAAGCTCCAACATACTCATTGATCAAAAAGAATTTTGGAAAGCCATGAATGGAGCTTTTATCAGGCTTGCAATGGGCGCAGAATCAGTGGGAGAAAATCTTCTCCATTTCCATTAACACAAGTTATATAATTTACCCTCATTTTGAGCCGACTTTGATGCATAATCCCTCAATTCATTAACTTAGATCTTAACTTTCTGTAGACTTTATTTCCATGGAAATCCTATCTATTGTTGTAGTCCTTGCTTACTGGTCTGCAGATCAGCAATTGCTGTGAGCTCAATATAATCTATTTTATATTCTTTTACAATCTGTCCCATTACAGTTTATTATATAACTTAGTTCTTCTGAATGAACTCCTATAGACATGCCAGTAATTCAAATTGTTTTGGATGCACAGTATGATTGTTTCTCTGCAATTATATCATCTAAGTAAACTAACAAGCTTTAAATCCATATATTTTCAATGCTACCTTTAAATTAATGCTATGGTTAGCAGAGGTCATGGCGCAGTATATAGATATGTTAAAGGCCTCAGTGATGCTATAGAAAGGAGGGGAATCTGCATGACAAAAATCAATATTAGGCTTTACACGTACAAAAAAAATTCTTAGTATGTCGCATATGTGTTTGAATGCAGAACGCACACATGGAAAGAGCTCTGTGCACACACGTGATTGTTCTAAAATTCATATGGAATTATTTACATTACAAAACTGTTTCTTCTTAACAGTTTCCCCTTGCACCATTGAAACTCTACAAGAAGACAAATGTTTTGTTAGTTTGTTATGACATTGGGTCATTATGACTTAACACACATGGTTTGCTGTTCTACACAGTAATGTCCACAGCTAAAAACAAGACATACACAAACTGAATTCTCATCGCATTCCCTCTGTGTTCATGCATATAGCCCTGATAGATGAGCAGAATTGAGGCCTCATTGCGTGGAATGGGACCTGGATTTTAAACTAGACCACAGACTTAGTAGTGAAGAGTTCCCAAAAAGCACAGCTTAAACTCAGTAGTTCCAGGTGCCAAATGTTGCAGATTTGTGTGACTGTGTGGATGCAAAAAGCAAGAGAATTGACTGACTGGAGAAGATCAGAGTGCCGTTTTTTATTATCATAACCGGCGATTTTCTTTCTGATGATCTTTTGTTACTCTCATTTCAGCGGGGTGAGACATAGGTGCCCTTGAAGGCACGGGGGTGGAGTGTTAGCCGGAGGGTTAGTTTCTCCTGTCTATTTCTATATAATAGACAGCCTAGTATAGACCTTATACCTACAATATCTAGTGTAGATTTTTCAGCGTGCTGCTAGCATAGTTATCTATAGTACTTCTCCCTATACTACTTAATCTTCACCTTTGATCTTTTATCTGGATTACCATTCTGTTATTTTTTGTACAGTCCCAACCCTATTAGGCACTTTAGCCGATTATCTAATATTTTATATAATTAGGCATCACAGCCGTTCATCCAATATTCATTGGATTTATTTTCTTTATTTTCTTTTTCCAGTCAGTTTAAGGTCACTGCAACTTGGTTTCTTTGTTAGAAGCCTCTGACCCAACGATATATTTTTAGGGTCATATGCTTAGCATTTAGAGACTTATACTCTAAACACGCTGTTTAGAATTTTGATCTATTGATATCTTTCGTATACGCATATATAACAGCATTACCATACTTTGTTATTCTGATCAACATCAATGATAGGTTACACAGGCGGTATAACCAACTCTGTAGTACACAACATATTGTCCTACCTTTTTTTCAATTATCAGTAGCACCTATACGTCTTCCCCTAACTGCGCAGACGTGCGCTATAGCTGAGTCTATATACACCATCTTAGACATCAGAATTGATTCTAATTTATACACTGGCTATTTGTTTTTAATTTGTTTCTTTTGCTGTGTTCTTTTTGAACACCTATTCTTTTGATGTTATTGATACCTAATAAATTAGTTTTTTGTTTTTTGGACCCTGTGGTCCTTTTAGATGTACTTCTATCTTGAATCTCCTATGTAAGAAGTCTAGGTCATATATTTGTCCTCTCCCTACTTATAGGTACACTTTCTTGTTGTTTTGTATTCATTTCCACTAGGGATTACCCCCCTGTTCTTAGTGTACCTTGGCTGTATTAGAACAAGTTTTCAGTTCGAAAATCTAGTATTGTGATTTGTATTTGTTTTTTCATTTGAAGTATATTGAGACTTCATTAAATAAGTTCATTAGTGTAAAATGTGCTAGTGTAAAAGAAAGTACAGATTACTATCTACTACTATCTTAGCAGGGCCGTCTTTAATATTGATTGGACCCTGGGCAAGCATCTGTTTGGGCCCCCTGGGCATGCAATCACTCCCTCCACCCCAACCTAGAGGCGAAACTAATGTAGAGAGTGCCTTGGTGCAACAAAAAAAAATTCAGGCCTGCCCTGTAGCACAAGAGTAAAGAAAAGATAGATCCCCATCTGTCATACAACTCCTGCGATGCTATGCCAGGTGGGGATCTACCATCCTTGCAGGGTTGTATTTTTGAGCAGTGTTTGTGCAAATGAATGTCAGCATGTTATTGTATAGAGTGTATGTGTGCATGTAGGAGTGTATTTGTATGTACTGTTACCATTGGAATGCAGTGGTGTACTTGTGTGTAGTGTTTGCATTTTAATTCAGGGATGTGTGATTGTTTGTAGTGTTGGCTTTTAAATGCAGGTGTACTTTTGTGTGTAGAGTTGGTGTTTGTATATAATTTTAGCGTTTTAATACAGGAATGTGTTTGCATGTAATGTTTGTATTTGCATGCAGGGGGGTGTTTGGATGTAGTGTTGTCTTTTAAATACATGTGTACATTTGTGTGTAGTATTAGTGTTTCAGCAAACTGGTGTGTTTGTAATGTTTGTGTTTGCAGGGGTCTGTTTGCATGTTGTGTGATTTCTATAACACATATACACATACACATTAACACGCAGATACACACATGCTCACACTGACACATGCTCACACCTTGACACATACTGGCACATACACATACACACACACTCAGATACACACCCTTTGACACACAGATACAAGCACTTTGATATACACACACTGGCACATACACACACACACACTGACACAGGTATATACACACACACTCAGATACACACATACATAAAGGTATAAATGCAGGGGTGTATATGTGTACAGTGCTAGAGATGGAATGTAGGAGTGTATTTGTGTTGGCATTAAAATGCTGGGATGTATGCATTACCACACACTCAGATGCACACTTACACACACACCGAAACACACACACAGGTGCACATACAGGTGTATGAGGTATACATACACACAGAAACACTGACACACAGACAAACACAGCCAGATACACACATATATATGTGTACATTTACATATTTTAATCTCTGCCTTCTAGCAGCTCTTGGACAGCAACTCCCAGCAACCTTGGCCAATATAATGTCTCAACTCTGTTCTTACATACCCTGGTCCAGAATTTGGCAAAAGTGACATTTGAAAATGGTGTACAGCCTTTGATAACACTTGATACAATATGTTAAAATAAATACTTTTTAAATTTATATTTAATAGGGAACTGTCAGGTTCTTCTAGGATTTTTAACATGTACTTATTCCATGTGTGTTACATTACAAACACCAACACACTTAAATAAAAGTGATATCAGAAATTAGCAAAACAAAAAAAAAAACATATTTAGCCACCCTCCTGTCTCCTTACCTTTTGGGTACAGAAAGGTGGCTTCCCTGGTGTCCAGTGAGAGCTTGCTGGCCCAGGCTGATGGGAGTCTCCCCCACAATGCTTGCATCCTCCTCCATGTGGTGTGTGCCTCCTCCCTAGCGGCACTGAGGAGGAAGTGATCAGTTCTTACTGGGAGGAAGCAATCTGACCTCACTGCCTCCCAGCATGCCCAGGAAACAAAGAGACTCACAGGGCAGTATGTGAGGGGGCTAGCTGTGAGTATGTAGTCAGCCACCCCCCATATAACAGGGGCCCGGGCCGGTCCAGAGCAGTATTAAAGGGCTGTGGCCCCTGATTACCTCAGGTGCCTCAGGGGGCCCATGGGGCAGCTGCCTTAGGGCCCCCAGGAGTAACTGGGCCCGGGGCAGCTGCCCCTTTTGCCCCTCCTTAAAGACGGCCCTGTATCTTAGGGACATCAAAAAAACATGGGTGCAATTTGCCAAAACTTAGCAGATAAAGAATAATCTTTTTTTATTTTTTTAATGTTTTTTTTTTTTACTTTTAATTTTTCCCTGAGAATTAAGCTCCACTGTAATGGTAGACCTCTGACTTGTATTTAAAATGAAAGTGTATTTCTAGATTAAATATTAGTAAAGCCGTTTGTCAATCCATCTACCGCAACCTTTAAGAGCTATCACCAAACCACATCCCCTGTAAGATATTATTTACTTCCCATCTTTCCTTTTCTCAAAACTGACTATGTAACTTGAATGTTGAATAAACCAATATTGACATTACCAATCACTTCATCAAGTTTCACATCAGAGGCGGATAATTAACATTTAGACAATAAAGAGGATTTCGAATAATCCCAACATTTACCCAACGATAACTTAAAATACAAATAGAAAAGGTACACAGCATGCAAACAGAATTAGGAGCATAGGTTTATTTACAGGAGGTCTCTAATGTATCCTGCCCTCTCTAAATGCAATTTAACCTTCCTCACTATTCTTTCCTCTCACTCATACTTTCTAATTATAGCTCTTACTCATCATGTTTTACTATAGTTTGACACTAAGTGCCTTTCTCTCTGTCTCTCCTTCAACCCATGTGTAGCTCTTTTTAGACATTCTGAATAGACCTGCCCTCTTAACCTGCCCATCATTTGCTCATTTATTCATTCGCTCATTCATTCATTCGTTCTTTCGTTTGTTAAATCATGATGATGTTTTCTACAATCTTGCATCTGCAATACTAAGTGTGACTTATTCAGATAAAGTAGACTATATTCAAATTATTGTCAGTCCTACACATGTTAATGGAGTAGGACAGATTTATACACACGCCGTACATAAACACTCTATTCTACAAATTCACTATACACCAAAAAATACATTTAGAATAAAGCCCAATTGTCAGGCTCCCGCGGACGGCTGCGAGGGGAGGCTGCACTCCGCTCGCAGTACTCACCCTCCAGCCGTCCGCGGTCCCCTCCACCTCGTGGGTACGGCGAGCGGCATCCTTCCAGCCTCGGATGCCGCCCGCCGTTCCCTCCACGTCCCCCAGCGGCAGCATGCATGACGCTGCACGCTGGGAGACCGCCCAGGGTTATACACGCCGGGTTCAGTCACCTGACCCGGCGTTAAAGGCAAAGTGCCACAATCACAGTGGGAGGTCTAAATATCTCCCACGTGTGATTGTTAATTCTGATTGGAAATCATCCAATCAGAGTTAACCTGAGGGTTTAAATACTTACCTTTCCTGTTCCTCCTTGCCCTGTTGTGGTCTTTGCTTGTTAGTATTGATTCTGAACTTGTGCTTCTGGTTACGTACTCTCTGGCTTGTTATCCGACTCTGTGGCTTTCTCCTACCCTTTGACCTCGGCTTGTTTCACGTTATTCTGTCTTCTGGTTCCCCTTACTCGGCTTGTTCCTGACTATTCTTTGTGTGCTTAGCCCGGCCACTCTAAGGTCCGGTACGGCACTTTGTGTGTGTGTGTGTGTGTTGGCGTGTTTGGTTCTCCGAATCGTGACATTACAACAGGGCCATAATGGAACCTGCTGACATACCACAGCTTCTAGTTAATCAAGAGGCTAGAATGGATGGCTTAGACCACCGTATGGATCAGTTTGCTCAAGCTTTACAAACCATTCTGGCTCGTACTGCACACTTGCAACCTGCCGTTCAGGAGGCTGCTGCTGCTGTGCCCGAACCCATTCCCACTCCAGTACCTGTTCCCGCTCATGTAGTTCACATGACGCCGCCACAGCGCTACAGTGGTGACCCAGCATTGTGTCGTGGTTTCCTCAACCAAATCGACATCCATTTGGTGATGAATCCACGCTCCTATCCCACTGACAGATCTAAAATTGCCTTTTTGATAAACCACTTGTCCGGGAGAGCTTTAGCATGGGCCAACCCCATTTGGGAAAATACGTCTCCTATGTCCTTTGCTGATTTTCTGACAGCTTTCAGACGCACGTTTGATCAACCCGGTAGGGTTGCTTCTGCTGGCAAGGCTCTGCTTAGGGTCCGACAGGGTAACAGGTCTGTAGCAGATTTCACTATCGAATTTCGTACTCTAGCAGCTGAAGTGGTTTGGAATAATGACGCCCTCGTAACAGCCTTTCAGGAGGGTCTGGCCGCTTATATACTGGATGAAATAGCATCCAGGGAATTACCTGCTCTTCTAGATGATGTTATAGACTATGTGATTCTTATAGATAACCATATTAGAGAGAGGCGTAGCCAAAGACGGTTGGATACACGGGTGTTACCTGCTCTACCCAGTACTTCCCTGCTAGCGTTACCCGCTCCTGTGCAGCCATCCCCTGAACCCATGCAGTTGGGTGCTACAGGGTTAACTAAGGGCCGAAAGAGCGTACCGTAGAAAGGAGGGGTTATGCCTTTATTGTGGGAAGAGGGGGCATCACTGTAAAGCCTGCCCTAAACTACAGGGAAACTGCAGCACCTAAGGCCTAGAGAGGGGTCGGCCTCGGGTGTTATGACCTTGTCCCCTCATATGTCCATCTCTAGACCGTTTATTACGGTTTCTCTCTTGGTCAATAAAACCACTATAACAACCAAAGCCCTGATCGATTCAGGTGCGGTAGACAACCTTATGGATGAGACCTTTGCCAAAACCGCAGCCCTGAATTTGATTCGAAAGGAGACACCCTTGGCCGTTGAGGCCATAGATGGTAGACCACTGGAGAAACCTCTGGTGACCCATGAAACCCAGGAAATAGTTATGTCTGTGGGTGTTTTGCACAAAGAGAAGTTAACCTTCCAAATAATTAACTCCCCAACAGCCTCCATCGTTCTAGGTTTTCCCTGGTTAGTTAAACACAACCCTGTTCTTGATTGGGGTTGTTTAGACATACTTTCCTGGGGGGAATCTTGTCAGCGAGACTGTGTGGCTCATGTACATCCTGTCTGTTTACTTAACGTACCCACGGCTAAACCACTCTCGGTTTCTGTGCCCTCTGTTTATGCGGATCTTGCCTTGGTTTTTGAGAAGAGGGAGGCAGATAAGCTACCTCCACATTGTGAGTATGATTGTGCCATAAACCTCTTACCGGGCACTATGCCTCCTAGGGGAAAGGTCTACCCTCTTTCTGAAAAAGAGAACCAAATCATGGAAGAGTACATACAGGAATCCCTAAGAAAAGGTTTTATTAGAAGGTCCTCCTCTCCTGCTGGTGCTGGTTTCTTTTTTGTGGCTAAGAAGGAGGGTGATTTGAGGCCATGTATAGACTACAGGGGTCTGAACAATATAACGGTTAAAAACGCCTACCCTATCCCCCTCATCACTGAGTTGTTTGATCGTGTTAAAGGTTCTAAATTTTTCACCAAATTAGACCTCAGGGGGGCTTATAACCTTGTCCGTATAAAGGAGAATGACGAGTGGAAGACAGCCTTCAACACACGCAGTGGGCATTACGAATATCTGGTCATGCCTTTTGGATTGTGTAATGCTCCTGCCGTGTTTCAGGACCTCATAAATGATGTCCTTAGGGATCTATTGCATGTCTGTGCTGTAGTGTACCTTGACGACATACTTGTGTATTCTCCTGATTTGAAGTCACACCATAACCATGTTAGGATGGTGCTCAAAAGGCTATTGCAGAACGGACTCTACTGTAAGTTAGAAAAATGTTTATTCGATCAGACCTCTGTGCAATTCCTAGGATATATCATTACTGAACAGGGTTTCAGTATGGATCCTGCTAAATTGGAAGCTATAATGTCCTGGCCACTTCCCCAAGGACTAAAGGCTATCCAGCGTTTTATAGGATTTGCCAACTATTATAGGAAATTTATAAAAAACTTTTCACCACTCATATCTCCCATAACGGAGTTGACAAAAAAAGGTCTACATCCTAGGGTTTGGACTCCTGAAGCCCTTAAGGCCTTCGAAACCCTCAAGAAGGCATTTGCCTCTGCTCCAGTGCTGCACCACCCTGATCCTTCTCTTCCCTTTGTTATGGAAGTAGACGCCTCAGAGTCAGGTGTGGGAGCCGTACTGTCACAGAGGTTGTCTTATGACAAACCCCTCCATCCCTGTTGTTATTTTTCTAAAAGGTTGTCTGATTCAGAGAAGAATTATGATGTTGGGAATAGGGAACTATTAGCTATTGTGTTAGCTTTCAAGGAATGGAGGTACTTATTAGAGGGTTCTAGACACAAAATTATGGTTATAACAGATCATAAGAATCTATCCTATATTGCTGATGCTAGAAGGTTATCTGCCCGGCAGGCTAGATGGTCTCTATTTCTCTCACGCTTCCAATATGTTATCACCTATAGACCTGGTTGCCGTAATGCCAAGGCTGACGCCATCTCTCGGCAGCATGAACCAGTAGAATTTGTTAACCCGACTCCTGAACCTATTGTACCTGAGTCTCAGATAATAGCTGCTACCCGTTTGGTTGTTTCTTCACCTTTCCTTACCAGTATTAAGACATACCAAACCCAGGCACCCCCTGAGACGCCGGTTGGTAAACTATACGTTGAAGCTAATGACAGAAAAAAGTTGTTAACTTTATTTCACACAGCCAAAACTGCTGGTCATCCGGGGGTTACCAAAACCTACAAGGGCCTCCTTCAACAGTTCTGGTGGCCTTCACTCAAGCGAGACGTAGTGGATTTTGTTCAGGCTTGTCAGGTCTGCACGCAATGTAAGTCCCTTAATGTGAGACCCCAGGGTTTTCTGATGCCTCTATCTATACCCAAGAAACCATGGACCCACTTATCCATGGATTTCATTGTAGACCTGCCTCTTTCTGATGGTCAGACGGTGATACTGACTGTGACGGATAGGTTCTCTAAAATGGCGCACTTCATTCCGCTTAAGAAACTGCCTTCTGCGGTTCAGTTAGCTCAGGTATTTGCCAAAGAAGTGTTCCGATTGCATGGGGTACCCCAGGATATCTGACAGGGGCCCTCAATTTGTCTCTCGGTTCTGGAGGGGCTTTTGTGCTGAGATGGGGGTCTCCTTGTCGTTCTCTTCCTCCTATCACCCGCAATCTAATGGTGCGGCCGAACGTGCTAATCAGTCTGTGGAATTGTATTTGCGCTGCTTCACTAATGCGCACCAGGATGACTGGTCTCGCCTTCTTCCGTGGGCTGAATTTGCCAGGAATACGGTGACTCATTCGTCTACTGGCTTAAGTCCTTTTGAGGTTGCCTATGGGTTTCGTCCTTCTGTCCTTCCCGGTGCGTTCTCCGACAAGGGAATGCCCGCCTTGGACCAGCACCTCGCCTCTTTGCGGAAGACATGGGATCAAGTCCATGTTGCGCTGTCTCGTTCAGCGGCTGCTCAGAAAAAGTTTGCTGATCGCCGTAGGGTTGCGGCCCCTTCCTATGTTCCGGGTGATAGGGTATGGTTGTCCTCCCGGAACCTCCGTCTCAAGGTTCCCTCGATGAAATTCGCCCCCAGATTTCTTGGTCCCTTCAAGGTGTTACGTAGGGTTAATCCCGTTTCCTACTCCCTTGATTTGCCTCCTTCCATGCGTGTCCCGAACACGTTTCACGTCTCGCTTTTGAAGCCCTTGCTGTGTAACCGGTTCTCTCGTCCCCTCGGGCGGCCCGTTTCCCCTCGAGCTGTCTCTGACGACGTGTACGAGGTGGCTACCCTTCTCGACTCTCGTGTTTCTAGGGGTCGGCTGCAATATTTGGTGGACTGGAAGGGGTACGGCCCTGAGGAGCGGTCCTGGGTTTCAAGCTCCGATGTGCACGCTCCCTCTTTGGTCCGCTCCTTTCATGCCCGCTTTCCTTTGAAGCCTTCCGCTTCCCGCCCCCTGGGTGGTCTTCGAGGGGGGGGTAATGTCAGGCTCCCGCGGGCGGCTGCGAGGGGAGGCTGCACTCCGCTCGCAGTACTCACCCTCCAGCCGTCCGCGGTCCCCTCCCCTCGTGGGTACGGCGAGCGGCATCCTTCCAGCCTCGGATGCCGCCCGCCGTTCCCTCCACGTCCCCCAGCGGCAGCATGCATGACGCTGCACGCTGGGAGACCGCCCAGGGTTATACACGCCGGGTTCAGTCACCTGACCCGGCGTTAAAGGCAAAGTGCCAGAATCACAGTGGGAGGTCTAAATATCTCCCACGTGTGATTGTTAATTCTGATTGGAAATCATCCAATCAGAGTTAACCTGAGGGTTTAAATACTTACCTTTCCTGTTCCTCCTTGCCCTGTTGTGGTCTTTGCTTGTTAGTATTGATTCTGAACTTGTGCTTCTGGTTACGTACTCTCTGGCTTGTTATCCGACTCTGTGGCTTTCTCCTACCCTTTGACCTCGGCTTGTTTCACGTTATTCTGTCTTCTGGTTCCCCTTACTCGGCTTGTTCCTGACTATTCTTTGTGTGCTTAGCCCGGCCACTCTAAGGTCCGGTACGGCACTTTGTGTGTGTGTGTGTGTGTTGGCGTGTTTGGTTCTCCGAATCGTGACACCAATCTTCATTTCTCCTTTGTGTTAATGTGGACTCACACTCAGAAGTTGAACTGTTTGGATATAAAGTGACCATCAAGCATGGCAGTGAGGTTCCCAAGTTTATTAATCTGGGGGAAGCCACCAGTGTAGGCTGCCCAGATGCTAAGTTTAGTGTCTGTTTTGGTTATCTATGTAAGAGTGAGTGCATATCCAAGGTGATTCTGCTGCAGAATTCATTTGATCATTCAGCAAGTCAACAGATTTCAACACTGAATTGGCTAATACGGTATTTCAACATTCCTGTTTGTTTACCATCTTAAAGAATAAGAAGAATACTGGGGATGATAATTAATTGTAGTGAATTATCTTTTTGAGAAGGGGATTAAGTTAAACATGTTATTAAATGCCATAGTGTGAGAATAATTCGGTTTGAGGAATACCTTTGAACTTCCTCGTGTGCCCTGGAGGTTTCTTTTATGAACATTCAGTGCTGAACCTTCAGGGTCATGACTTAATCTTATAACATCTCTAAGTGTTTTGTTTCATTTAGAAATAGATATGTACACACTGTTTTAAGATGTCACTGTTATAATGTGTTGTTGCATAAGCAGACATGTCTGAATCTAACCCACCCTATTCTTTATATTAGGTATTATCCTGGGATTTTCTGTTCGGAAATATAATATGTCCTTCCGGGAGATCAAATATTTCTCGTTCCCAGGAGAGCTTTTGATGAGAATGCTCCAGATGTTGGTCCTTCCGCTCATTGTGTCCAGCTTGGTTACAGGTACACTAACAATACATTCTTGTTACACATGCATGCTTTATAACAATAAGTATGGATGTAATTCTACATACTGCCTAAAGGGTTTTAAAGTAATGTCTGCAGGTACAAAGGGTGTCCGCTACGACTGTAGATGTGATAAGCGCATCCTGATTTTCAATCAGAACTGACTTTAATTCTTCTCCAGGTAACAACCCTGTAGATCTGAAGGTGGAGACTTCTGTTCTTGTAGAACGATTCGAGAATATGCTTTTATCACAGAAATCCACAGAAATAAAACCTATAGTGTATAGGTAGGCAACCTTTGGCACTTCAAATATTTGGCACTCTCCCATAATGAACTCAGAGTCATAATACTGGCAAAGCATCATGGGAGATGCAGTCCACAATATTTGGAATGCCAAATGTTGCCTACCCCTACTATCATGTTTGAATGTAATGCAGAGTTTCACTGCAATAAAACTCACCACAATATGCATGAGTGTTTGGATAAGGAAAGAAATCTGTTGATATATTTTGTATTATTAATGTAGTATGTATCACAAAGCTCCACATAATTAACTTCTTAAGGACGGCAGGCGTGCTATGCCATCCTTAGGGAACCGGCTCTAAACCCCGGGGGTGGGGTCCCCGCCATCCTTTGTACTTACCCGTTCGCCGGCGATCCCAGGGAGTACCTCTCCTTCCTCTTCGGCAAAAGTTACAGAGTCAAATATAAGGCTTACATTTCAGTTTTTTCACATTAAAATTCACCAGATTGGTTATGTTGCCTTTGAGACCGTATGGTAGCCCAGGAATGAGAATTACCCCCGTGATGGCATACCATTTGCAAAAGTAGATAACCCAAGGTATTGCAAATGGGGTATGTCCAGTCCTTTTTTAGTAGCCACTTAGTCACAAACACTGGCCAAAATTGGCGTTCAAATTAGTTTTTTGCATTTTTCACACACAAAAAAATATGAACACTCAAAATGACGAAATAGGCGGGCGACAGCAGGGAGCAATCAGATGCTTCCATTTGGAAGCATCATTGCAACCTTGTGCGCATGCGCGGCTTTGCCGCACATGCGCACATACTTCATAGCCCTCTGAAGTCCTGAGCGCACTACCGCGCATGCGCGTGGTGTGCGTGGCCGCGAGCTGAGCTGTCAGCCCGTTTTTGCCCGCCCCCTCTCCTCTGCTGACAGGCAGGAGAGAGCAGGCGTGCACACAGTGCCTTCTCTCTCCTGCACACGTCAGACGTATCTTAATACGTCTGACGTGTACAAGGCCTTTTTAGGGTCCTACATGATAGGAAGTCCCTCTGGTGGCCGTCTGAGTGACGGCCACTGGAGGTATTCCTATCAATCAATGTAAACACTGTATTTTCTCTGAAAATACAGTGTTTACAATAGATTGCCTGCAGGGAGCTATAGATCTCACCTAAACAAATACATTAAGCTGTAGTTGTTCAGGTGACTATAGTGTCCCTTTATCAATTATTATATTTGTTTCATTATCATTTTTTTATGTACAGATGAAATATTATATATAATGTACCCAATGCAATTTTTTTCAGCTGCAATGTATTACACTGTAAAATCACAGAGTTGAGCCATATATTCAATATCAGAAATATCTCTTATGGCCACACTTGTTTTGATCTGTTAACTTATTAAAAGTGGTCTCAAGTGCACAAGTTGAGAACAGTACTGTGAACCAATACACACAGACAAAGCGAGTCATGTCATGGGCATGTACATAATCTATAGCTTGATACAATGATATATGATAATATGATACACACAGCTGGTAAGTCAGTCTTAGCACTGAACGGAAATGTTAAAGTAACCTCAGAATTCTTTTGTCACTAAACAGTCAGATGGGGTGAATTTAAAAACGTTTAGGACCTAGATGCCGATTGGCGTTCATTCTCCTATATAGCTATATTGAATATACCAACTCTGCTTTTATTGTATCTGAATTTCTGCTTCTAGTTTGCCAAAACTGTTCACCATTGTTTAAAGCATAGTTATTCACTAAACCAGATTGATTAGAGAATTCCAAATTGAATCCAATGTAGCAAATTAAAGTAACAGATAATGTTTTAAACTATTTGTTATAATAAGTATGGATGTAATTCTACACATTGACTAAAACAAGCTGAGCTCATTTCTATACTTGTCAGTAAAAAGTAGCCATTATGTGTTGTTTATACCAACAGTAGATCCCTGTGGCTAAAAATACTGTCACACTTCCATAATCCATCTTTTGTCTGTATGCTACTCATGTCTCCACTGATACAGACGACCACTTAGTACTTACTATTGATATATTATACTATAAGCAAGTGGTGTTGCCATTGCTTACTAAACTAACATAGTTCTGGTAAGTATAAAAAGAGGGCAGATTCGGAGCTCAATCTGCAGAGTAGCACACTTCGATTAGATTACAAATGACTCCTTTGCCATTTCTCTCTTTATTCATTTGAAGCCCTTTGTCTGTGAGTTATTCCCTAGTTATTCCCTTCCCACTAATATTCACATGTCAACATTACCTGCCAATTCACCACTTCCTCACAAAATAGATTCAAACGTTGCTGCGCTATTACACCTCCTTCCCAAACTAAAACCTTGTGTTTCTTGTAATTAGCCCTTTCCTCCAAAACTAGATCTTCATATTTGCTATTTCCTCCCCAAATTAGGCCCCTCGCATTTCCCTACCAGTAAATTATTTGCCTCCCTAAACTAGGATCCTTGCTATGCCCCGCAAATAAATGATTACTCCAACCACCATGACCACTTAAGTGATTTAAAGTGGTCATAGTGATTGGAGTATGTATGTGCTGTGTTTGAGTTTGAAACACTACTCATACTGAGTTATTGCTAATTGTGTGCTGGAGGGCTAGTTGGACTTCCAGCAAATGTGACATTGGGAAGCTAGAACCCAATGTCAATTCTGTGCATAAAAAATGTTTGTAATTAGTGTGCACTGCATGCTGAAAACAAACATGAAAATCTTCCTTTTGCAGGCAGAGCATATTCAACAGGAAGATTGCTTCCCCCTCCCTTCCACCCTCTCGGCATTCCCTCCATTGAAGAATAATCGTTTTTTTGAGCACACGCTCTGAGCCAGCAAAGCCTGTGATTAGACTGACGTCGAAGAAGGCATGCCTGTAAATGTTTTACTCATCCTTCTGCACTACACACAGAAACACTGTTGTAAACAGCAATTTTGTGTCCACCTTGCTTATGTCTATCTTGTCAAAAAAGGAGGAGGTATATAGCAGCCCACGGCTGGGAATTTGTTATTGCCAGGGACATGTGCCCTCAGGATTTCACATGATCCTGTGCAACAAACTGAAAGTGGGAGCAGGAAGTGACATTATATTCCTTCTCCTGTGAGTGAGTTATATGCAGAGAGAGAGCCTAAATAGGCAACCAAACATGTTTCTTTTTCCGAGTATATAAGTGGTTCTACCTCATGGCTAGGTGGGTGCACTTGTCCTCCTACACCCTCCAGAATCCACTGGAGGTTTAAATTGGGAAAGACAAGTTACTGACTGAAAACTTTTAATACATCCTATAGGTTAGAAAGACATTTGTGTTAAAGAAAACCTTGTAATGTGTTCTGGAAGAGTTTCTTTGGCAACACCAACATGTTTACAATGACCTGGTAGAGTTGCTATGGCAAGTGCTGCAACAGCCCTGTATGCAGAGCATACCTGCCAATCTTCTCTGTCCACTTTCCAGGGAGGTAGGCAAGAAGAGAGCAAGCTTTGTGCAGAGAGCAGGTCCACCCCAAAATATAGTGACCAGCAAATTTTGGACTATATCCCCATAGACCGGTATATAAATTTCTCAGTATTTATGTTTGTTTAGAACAATACAGGTGGTCTTTATGTCTGAGAAGAGAGTTATCTTATTGTTTAGCTATATAGTTTTTATGTCCACTAAGAGAGATACATGGTCTGTGTTTGTATGCAATGGTTATAGTTATATAACTAATTAAGCTGAAAAAAATTAAAATAAAAAATTAAAATAAAAAATTAAAATAAAAAACATTTGGAATGGCCAATTTTTGCTTCCAAGCAGTTTGACTTGTCTGAATTTTGTTAACAAAAAAAACAAATTGTGGAAAACGAACCAGAGTAACCACAAAAAGTGACAACAGTGGTTTCAAATATGTGCAGCTTACTATTGTTGAATTAAAAAATTTACTTTTAATTTCAATAAAAGATTTATTTTAATTTTTTTCGATCCTGCTGGTCAAAACAGACCAAAAAAAACAATTCCAACTTTTTTATTCTTCTATTGTGAAATAATTTTGTAATGTTACATATATAGACCATCTTTTCTTATGGATACATTTTCTTACCAATATAGTTCATAATTTGTATGTCCTCTCTTGTTAATATTTATTCTTAATTTTCCCAATACCCACAATATTTTTTAGCCCAAGTTCAGTGACTCATCCAAACCATCATTCAATAAATTCAATGTAGCAGAAACTTTTTGAATGAGAGTACTTGTCTTCCAACTCTTATTGTTAGTTACTCGTTGAGGAATGCTCATTGTCCTGCCCTTTCTCTCTCAAGTTTAATAGAACCCGGGTGATTTAGGCCGTGTGAATTTTGTGATACCTTTCTTTCCTAAAAGGGACTCGAGTTAAAAATAGCGGAAATAATTCCTTCCTCTTTCCATTCGTAGAAAATCTTTTGATGGTATTATGATGTAGGTTCCTACAGAATTAAACGATTGCAGTAAAAAAATAAAAAATAAATACCATTTAGTATTAATATTGTTATGCTTCTTGAATGGTATAATATATATTGAACTATTAACGTATCTCCTTCCATCTTTTGTCTAGCCTTCTCCTTACCCTGCATCTACAACCACATTACCCTGCCGTTGTTTCTTTAATGGTAGTTTTCCTAATGTGAGTAAATAAGTCTGTAAAGGTTAAAGTTCTCCTGTTCTTTTTACTTTTCTCTTCTTATTATCTAAGTTATCTCATATGGATACACTCATCTTTAACGCTTTACTCAGTCTGGCTAAGGCTCATCACATAGTTACGCAAACTAATGGGGACCCTTTTTTTATTGTTTTGTAATTCATATATACAATAAAGATCACTTGCAATATAGTGTTTGTTTTACATTCTCATCAAACATGATAATCTTATTTTTTACTTTTTCTTTTTTCAAATTTCCATTTCTTTTCCATTATTAAATATTGTAACATTAACATACACCATGTTTTAAAGCATATTCAAAAAATGTTTTCAATAAATACAACAAATGCAACACAAATAACAAACTGGAAAAAAAGGGTGATAACTCACAGCGTGAGATTCAAAACTTTACCAAGCAGGGGCTAATTTAGGAGAGGTTGTATCTGTGTAAGCAGACATTATTGGCAGTCAGCTGGTAAAAAAATAGCAACAAGGTTTGCCACCCAGCAGCTATTTCATTGGCAATGTTTGTAAAACATGCTTCCAGCAGCAAAAATCGCTGTTTAACACTGTAGGGACAACTTTAGTTTAATGGAGTGGTTTATGTGTAAAGATCATGCCCCCACAGTCTCACTGCTGAATTCTTTGCCATTTAGGAGTTAAATCCTTTTATTTATACAACCCTTGTTACACCTCTGTGCATGTGACTCACACAGCCTTCCTAAACCCTTCCTGTAAAGAAACATCTCACTTTAAAATCTCCTTTATTGCACATTCTATTTTATTTTTTCATCTCCTGCTCTAGTAATAGCCTGCTAAAACCTGTAAGAGCCTCCCATGTTTGATTAAAGTCCAATTACTAGCGCAGGAGATACAAATTTCTAAATTAAACATACTGTGTTTTGAAATCTGATTTAAAACTAAACCTTTTTTTCACGCAGGCTGCATAAGAATTATTGCCAGGGGAGACTGGCTAGGGCTGCATGAACAGAAACAAAAGTGATTTAACTATTAAATGTCCGAGTATTGATCAATGAAACTTTAGGGGCATGATCTATACACAAAAACTGTCTCATTAAACTAAAGTTGTTTTGATCGTTAGTGTCCCTTTAATAGTAATTAATATTAATATATTGTTTACTCCACAATCTAGTGAAGTTTAATAACTGGTACTGAAGATACTGTCATGGATGTACAGTGTTACACAAATTAAAGTGCCAAAAATCCTTAAATTTTACCTTTGCTCATTGATAGAAGGAGATGGGATTCTTTGGCTTCTATAACTCTCCCCCTCAAAGCCTGTACTCCATCCATTCCTGCCAATGCCTTTTTATATATGTACCCAAGTAACCTGGAGGTGATTGGAGAATCTCTAAAGTCTATACTCCGTCCTGGACCCAAAAGCACACAATTGTGACTTTCCTATGCTTTGCAATGAGCTGAAATACAGCTCACTGCGAAGGGGAAAGGTAGACTTGCTCTAGCACATGAGCTAACAGAAGAGGAAGAGAGCCTCTCTGGCAGTCTGATTGGCAGTCAGACAGATGTTTCTGCCCCAAATATAAAATAGAAATTGCCTCTTTTAGGAACCATCGCAAATATGACAGTCTCTAGACATAGTAATGGATCATTATGAGGTCTTAAAGGAACACTATACTGTTAGGAAGACAAAACTGAAATGGGAAGGTCTAATGTGGTGTGCATTAGACCTTCCCCACAGGAAAGGATTGAATCAATAGTTTGCTAGGGGTGTTTGCATATGCTGAACACAGTCATGCAAAGCGTGAGAACGCCCAACCTCTTTTCACTGAGTTAAACTCAATGATAAGCTGGAAGACAGCCACTGGAGTTGGACTTAACACTGCAATATAAACACTGCAGTTTCACTGCAATGCTTTAAGTTGACGGTTTAAGGGGACAGGGGCACATCACCCAGACAACTTCAATGAGATGCCCAAAAATAATTATACTATTTTTTTTTGTATGACAATATATTAATATATGTAGTTGATTAAATAATATGCAATAAAATATATGGTGGTTTACTGAGGATAATTAATGTAAAACTGTATTAATAGCAGATGTTGTGAAAGACAAGGCTGATGGCTGATTTAATTATATATTTTTTTCACACAAAATATAATTTTCCAAGTTAAATTAAAATGTTGTGAAGGATTTTCCTTTTTTTTTATTGTTTAGCGAAATGCGTTGGATATGGAAGTCTTGTTTTGTAACACTGTTTATCTCACAGTTCTGAACAGAGACAGCGTGATGATTTTGCAGGGCATCTCATGTTGCCAAAAATATCCATTCTAGTGAATTATGCATACTTCCCTTGAACTTTTTTCTTTTTTAGATGCAAATTTTAGGCCACAGTGAATGACTGTTGGCATCACATCTATAATTGTTTATTCAGCAGGGTATGTTATGAGCATGTCTCTATAATTGTGAGATACAGTTTTTTCTTCTCATTGCTATTTCCTTCCCTTGAGAAACAACACGGGAGCCACCAAGTGCTCATTATGCATCAATCTTCATATATTTAATCTGCATCAATGATTTGTTTTGTTTTTGGGTGAAACGAATTGAGCAATGGGAGGTTAAAGTATCATCTGGAAATGGAAACTGTAGTTGTATATCCAATAATATCCAAAGAATTAACATTATCCAATCCTATAAAATAGTCATTGTCTAAAACGCAGCATACGCCATTTACAAAATAAACACAAAATAAAAACGTATTTAACTTCTGTGCAATTTTATTACTGAAGTATAATACTAATTTAATTTTGCATTGTATATTATACCTCGTATAATGCTCATGGCATATCCAAGGATGATATTTGGCAGATATGATGTAGATAATGTCAAACTCGTGGCCCACGGGCCGCATGCAGCCCACAATGGACATCTTTGCGGGCCGGTGAGCCGCGAGTACATGCTTAGTTTAAAGCAGAGTAGGCACCTGCTTTCTCCACATTGCAGGTGCCTACTTTGCTAAAATTTACCTGGCTGGGAGGAGAGGTCGCTGAAGGAGCTCAGTCTTCCTGTTCTTCACTGCTCCCTCGCGCGCGCCGCCTGTAGTGATGCCGGAATATGACATCATATTTGGCACCCGGCATCACTAAACTGCGCACGTGAGCAGTGAGCAGCAGGAATGAGATCTCCAGATAGAAGATCCCCACTGGACCCTAGTGATAAATACAATGATGTGAGCATGTGCAAGAATGTGTAAATGTGTGTGTCTGTCAGTGAGTGTGTGTCTGTCAGTGAGTGTGTGTGTGTCTGTCAGTGAGTGAGTGTGTGTCTGTCAATGAGTGTGTGTGTGTGTCTGTCTGTGTATGTCAGTGAGTGAGTGTCTGTATGTGTCAGTGAGTGTGTGTGTCTGTCTGTCTGTCAGTGAGTGTGTGTGTCTGTCTGTGTGTCAGTGAGTGTGTGTGTCTGTCAGTGAGTATGTGTGTTTCTTTCTGCGTGTGTCTGTCTGTGTGTGTGTGTGTGTGTGAGTAAGTGAGTGAGTGAGTGAGTGAGTGTCTGTCTGCGTGTGTTTCAGTGAGTGTGTGTGTCTCTCTGTCAGTAAGTATGTGTGTTTCTTTCTGTGTGTCAGTGTGTGTCTGTCAGTGAGTGTGTCTGTGTGTGTGTCAATGAGTCTGTGTGAGTCTGTGTGTCTGTCAGTGAGTTTGTCTGTGTGTGTGTCTATCAGTGAGTGTGTATGTCAGTGACTGAGTTTGTGTCAGTCATTGTTGCGATGGCCGCGACTGGTTAGTGGAGGACCTGGAGGAGCACGGAGGCACGCAACGCCATGTCACATTCCAACGTGACGTCAACGTGCTTCACCTTCACAGGGTTTCAAGAAGTAGCGGGAGGATCCGCTTTGGCACAGGGTGCAGACACCGCCATTTGGGGTATGCCAGAGGCCGGACTCCGGAGTCGCATACTGGCAGCAGCAATGTTAGTGGAGTCTGTTTGTTGGCTAGAAGTGGGTGCTGGGATTTAGCTGAGTGGGGGACAGGGATTTGGTATATGGGTGGACTGAGATTTAATAGAGGGAGTACTGTGATTTAGTAGAGGGGGTGCTGTGGTTTAGTAGAGGGGGATGCTGAGTTTTTTATACTGTACTTTTCAAAAGAAACCTACGATGAAAATTTAAGTTTAGTTTTTTTTACGGCCCACATAAACTTAAACCTTGTTTATATGGCCTGTGCTAGATGTTGAGTTTGACATGCTTGATGTGGAGCCAACACGCATTGTGTATAGAGCATTATAATATACTGTATTGCTCGATCTGCTTGCTGACCTTGGGATCAGAGGCTACTGGAACTATGGATGAAAAACTAAAGCCACCCATTTCAGGTCTATAGCCACTATTTATAGTACTGAAAAAACATAAGTATAAACATTTAGACATGCATTAGTGAGAAAAGATTTCAAAGCCGTGCCTCTCAGACAACAAAAATTCTTAAAGAAAAAAAACAACTTGCCAGCAGTATTGTACCAACCGTGACATCTGTCACTCTATTTTCCTCTTGCAAACTTGTCAGAGGAATAATCACAGCAACTACAGGACATTTTACTAGTATTGTTTATGAAACATATATATTGTAGTCATAGTTCTAAAATTAATTAACACCTATATATAAAAGCAAAAACACTTGCTTAGTAGTATTGGAAGTGTAAATTTAAAACATGGATTTGCCAAGGTTAGGCTTTCAATGGCCAAACTTAAAAGACCACTATAGTGCCAGGAAAACATACTCATTTTCCTGGCACTATAGTACCCTGAGGGTGCCCCCATGCTCAGGGTCCCACTCCCGCCGGGCTCTGGGGAGAGGAAATGGGTTAAACCTACCTTTCTTCCAGCTCCGGGCGGGGAGCTCTCCTCCTCCTCTCCGCCTCCGATCCTCCTCTTCGGCTGAATGCGCATGCGCGGCAGAAGCTGCGCGCGCATTCAGCCGGTCTCATAGGAAAGCATTCATAATGCTTTCCTATGGACGCTGGCGTCTTCTCACTGTGATTTTCCCAGTGAGAAACACGCAAACGCCTCTAGCGGCTGTCAATGTGTCAGCCACTAGAGGCTTTAGAGGCTGGATTAACCCATTTATAAACATAGCAGTTTCTCTGAAACTGCTGTTTATAAAAAAAATGGGTTAATCCTAGAGGGACCTGGCACCCAGACCACTTCATTAAGCTGAAGTGGTCTGGGTGCCTAGAGTGGTCCTTTAACATATTTCCATTCTAACTGATTGTCATACTATCCGATTATTGCGTAATACACATAAACAAGGTATACTTTTGTATGTGATCTGTTTTTGTAGGAAACTGTGAATTACATCTTGCTTGTGTTACCTAAACTGGTATTCAAAATCAATTAGTATTATTATTCTTAAAACGCAATGTATTTTATAGATTACCTGGCATTGTTTTGACCCTTTTACTATCGACGTCTTCACATATCACTGATTTTTGTTGTCACTGCATAAGAAAATATATAACAACTACACCCAGCACTGGTTCCATTCCATCCTCACACTAAATGAAAATTTATCAGCAAGAGTCTCATACATTTAAATAATATTTTCTCATTCCCACTCCTGCACTGTATAAAAGCCTGCATGGATTATGGTCTGGGGTCTCTGGAATAACATAATGCTGGAGAAGGAAATTACATTAAATTATTTGGTATACATTGTATACCCAGTGTAGTCATAGCACCACAATAGCATCCGGTAATGTATATATTTTTTTAATTAGACATGCTTCATTTTAGCATGACAGGAGTATTTACTGTATATGATTAGTATGCCTATTGACTATTATAATGTTTTATTATGCTGTCATTAAGGAAATTCCCCAAAATGCCAGCAGTTTCCTTACAAATACTCACAGTGAGCATAGCTGACCATTTCTATTTATTGCCTGCGGCGTTGAATGTATGTTCTTGTATGCCAGCCATACAGTAGTGCGACCACTGTCCCATGGCTTGCTTTTATGATGATCAGACCAAAGGGTGAGAAAAGCATGTGTTGAGGGTATAATGGAAGAAAGGTGTTTGAACGTGTCCTAATCCATCACAGACTGTGAATGTCGGTGCCAGAAGAAGTTTATGTAAAGATGTGTTGCATGCGGAGAGCAAAGGATCTTAACGGGACAGTCGAAGCACCAAAACAACTTTAGCTTAATGAAGCAGTCTTATTCACTTCTGATGACCATTCAGTTCAATCCATTGTTTGCTTTTTTCTTACCAGCCACCAAACTAAAAAAAAATAAAAAAATTTGGGGTCAATCAGAAAACAGAAGAAATGCCCAGCAGCAACCTAGTTAACCCCTTAAAGACAGTAGGATGTTTCATTATGCCTAACTTTAATGTGCTTTAATTGTTTTAGGACACCTTGACACGTCCTTAGTGTCCCCAAACTGACCGATGAGCTCTGTGCAGTGCTAGAAGTCAGCACTGTACAGAACCCTTTAACTCATTCGTAAAACCACTGCAGTTTTTCTGGGATGCAAGCAGCTTTGGGGAGACCCACTAGGTCTGAATAGACTGACCGTGACTTATGCTGGGCTTTGGCAACTGCTCAGCACTGATCACATGATTGGATCAATGAATTACACTAAGCCTAATTTTGAACACGGCCAGTAGAAGGTGGTAACATACCTTCATCTACTGTGTGTTAAATAGCAAAACCCAGTTCTAGTATCAGAATTGATTTTAGCAGTGGGTTACCATAGGTTTAGGGTAGGGTCTGAGTTAGATTTAGGGTACGATTAGGATCAGATTTAGCATTAAGAGTAGGGTAGGGTTACAATTAGTTTTGGGTTAGGGTTAAGTGTAGGGTTGGGGTTCATGCAGAGTTAGGTTTGTGTAGAGTTAGGTAAGTATTACTGTTGGGTATGGGTTAATGCTATTCTAAGGTTATAATAGTGTGGGGTTGAGGTTAATGGTGAGATTAGGGTAGGCATATGGTTATATTTAGTGTTAGCATTATGTAAGGGGTATGGTTGGTATAGCATTGGTATGGGGCTTGGAATAGGTTAGTGGTAACTATCAAATTTAGTTTCTAAACACATTAGGCATTTTACAATCAGAACTGATATGTGAATCTATTTTAAGTTTTTTTAAATTAGTTGCACTGGATGTATAAAAATTATTATAAGCAAACATGTAAAAAATGTGACGGTGAGAAATAGTGTCAGTGAGATACCTTTACACTGAAAAAAAATGAAGAATTTAAATAGTCTAGGACAACCATCTGCACCACCTATTTCCAGTATGATAGACGCACAAATCCTCAAATTTATAAATATAAGATATGAGAAAATATACAAAAAAATGTATTGAAGGTTGAAGGTAGTATAATGCATACTTCTGCTAATCCTATGCATAAAGAAATTTACATTAAGTAGCTTTAATACCATTCATGATTATGATATTATTATATTATATTATGATATTTTAAAGCATCAAGCCCCTTTATCCAAGCTGAGATTAAAAAATCTGGGAAGTATTAATTAATCATGGCTAGAGTATATATTGTGATGTAGTAATCTTGATCTCTCTGTAGAGCAGTGTATGACTTCAGAAGAGAAACACTTACCTGTAATGAGCACCCAAGAAATCTGAAAGACCTAACTTTCTTGCTTTAAGCTACATTCAGTAGACTTTAGGACAGGGGTAGTCAACCTTTTAGTAGTACTGTGTACAAAATAAGATATTTAATTCCCATGGCGTGTCGGTCCTATTTTTTTAAATCGAGGTGTATATGTTGCTGTATTCTGCTTGTGTTCTTTATGAGTGCTGCAGTTGCTTTGTAACCTGTGCGTATGTGGGGTGTTATATTGTACATGTCCGTGAGCAGTTTGTGGTATTGTGCATGATACTTATGAATGTGGGCTGCATATAGGGGCTGCTTGTGGAGTTGTGTGTCTGAATGATATGTCACATTGTGTGTTTGGTGGTGTGTGTATGTGTGGGGCTGCTTGTGGTATTCCATGTGAGAGGCTACTTGTGGGATTGTCAGTGGGATTGTTTTTGTGGGGACTGTGAGTGTTTTTGTGTGTGGGCTGTTTGTATTATTTCTATGAGGGGAAACGTATCCTGTAGCTCTGTGTATATCAAGCAGTGTGGGTGGCTTATCTGGGGTCCAGTGTGGACCGGGATGGCCAGGTTTACCTTAAGTACAGCAGCTATTATAGCTACTACGGGCTGTCCTACTTAATTGTGGATTCCCGTTCACAAGTGCTGGAAGGAAGTGAAATGAGATGCAACAAAGCATACATTGAGGATTGTCCATCACCACCTGCAATCATAGCTGAAGACCCACTGGGACTCCTGAAAGACCCCTACTTTAGGAGAATCATGTGCTCTTAGTACAGCCTGTCACCCAATAGCAATGGTGAGTTGAAAGGTACTGTTGTCAAAATACTCCTTAGAAAGAAAAGAATAGTCAGACATCAGTAATATCTTAAGGGGAGAGTATGTAATGTGGGTGATGTATTATATCATATGTTTTCTTTGATATTGCATTGCACATGAACTTTAAAGGCTATCTTCCCACTGCATCAACTATACCAGTCAAACAGCTAACCCTAAGTCAGACTTGCTCGAGAAACAAAAGAAAAATAAGAAATAGAGTTATACGTACATTGTTCTGGTAAGCTTGTAATGAGATATAGACAATCAAGAATGTTTTTATGGCTTACTTCAAGCACCATGGCCATTTCAGTGATTTGAAGTGGTAACAGTGGTCAAAGCCTGTATGTGCAGTGTTTCAAGTGCATATTTATTTAATGTTGCTGTTGTGGTGGGTCTCCACCTTCAACAGCATCATTGTTAATCTTAATTCTGGACAAAAAAGATGACCTTGGTTGGCACGCTGGCAATGGATCCTAATGGCGGCACGGTCCTCAAGTCTTCTCAGGTCAGCCTTTCGGGACTGCCCTCCCCCTGCAGTGGTTGGCAGAGACATCAGCGAATGTGGATCAGGCTGCTTGAAGAATTGTTTGATTTTGCTGATATTTTGTTTTTAATGGGAGAGGGACATTCCAGGAAGCTTATGCCATCAAAATCAATGTCTTATTAAAACACTGTTTTTGGTTGGAGTAACCCTTTAATTCATTTATTTATGTGTCAACACTACACATGCAATACAATTCAAAGGCATCTTAAATAATAAAAACCTCAACAACAAAATAATCGTAGCTTAAATGTTAAAATATAACCCACTTATGTTAATAAGATAAAAATAAATAGAGATCCAATGGAAATCATGTCAAGTGCATTATGAAGAAATATGGGGAGAATATGTGATTGAGTATATGGGGGATCGGCAAGTAAACCATAAAATTCAAGGTATGTTATTTATAATATTAAAATTGTTTTCAGAATGTTATGTTTATTAATATTTTATATTATTTTTAAAGTTCCACCATGTTTCACAGAGCCGTACAACGTTCTATACCTTCTCGTAAAGATTCTAGGAAAAGCCATGCTTAGGTATTTGATAGTCTGACTTGTGGTCTAAAGATCTCTGGTTTCTTCATTAGCCATCTGGATGGTAAATTGGTTCTTCACAAAAATAGGACAAAACTTAAAAGGATCGAAACCTAATTAACACTGTCACTGCCAAACAAAGGGGGGCAGGGGGTGAGGCAACAACCATTTTCGGAATAACTAGAAAAGAGACTTCCCACCCTCCTCTTTATTTCACATTAAAAAAAAATATACCTCCGACACAATATAAAATATCTATTCGTATATAAGTTTTATTTTTAAATAGCCCCAGGAAATCCATACACAAACCATGACATGCTATGGGGAATGAAAAGCTCGAACACAAGAAAGGTATTATTTGGGGGATGCCATTGTTCAGGTAGCGGTGATATTTTGTTACAGGAATCTGTGCTGCTATTTTTTCTGTCCCTGGTCTTCCAATTCTTGGCTCAGACACAGTCAGCCCTTTGTGTTCCACAATCCCAATGAGGTAACCAAAGTAAAAGCGCCGCACAGCCTGGGACTGTCAGCTGTTACTAATCACCGCTCTAAAGCTTGCTGTGAATCCCCTGGCTGCCTGCTCCTCTATCCTGCTCTGCTTAGCACACATACAGAAGATAAATGACCCTCTGCTTCCCTTTCTAAAAGCATATTGTTGCGCATTCCAGTACAGCAAATCAAGGAAATGGGATAATGTAAAGAGTTAAATGGGTACCTAAGCCTCACAACAGCAGGATCCCACACTGGTAACTACTAGCTTTTGGAAAACATTTTGGACACAAAAGAAACTTCTCACAGTGACATTTTGAACAACAATAGCTATATAATTAGAAAGTCGATGACAGTACACAGTTATGAAATGATTAATTGCAAAATAACAAAGATGTTATAGTTTCTCACACTGTGCTAAAAACTATTTAATGAAGCCGAGCATTTTGATTGAAAAGGATTGCCGCAGTTCTGCTTCATTATAGGTGAACATTTTTGCATGCTTGGATGGATCTGGTATTGTTAATATAGTCTGGCAGTCGTAGTTTTAATTAAATAGTTTGGGTCTGAATCAAGGGGAAGTATAAACTGAGGGCCTTGAAATTTTCAAATCTCAGCTGGCTTCTGCTGTCAACGTTTAACTTTGCAGAAAAAAAAAATATAAATCTTTTTTTTTCTTTGCAACTTTAGGATAAGAGAATCCAAACGTTGCAAACTGACGTTGCAAATATTTTTGCACTTCCGTGATAAATAGTGAATAAACATTTGCACAAAAAATATAACCTATAAGAAAGTATAGGTTATATATTATGCCAACATAATAAAGTTGTTCTAGTTTGTGAATATATTTATTACATTTATGAAATAACTCAGTTTCACTAATAAATTACTGCTGGTGGCACATTTGGTATTTTTTTTCTGCTCCTATTATATGCCTACCTAAAAATAAAAAGGAGAAAATACTTATGTTCAGGAAAATAAAATAATAGAAATTAACATAACAATATTGTTTATACACTTAAACCCATAAGGACACAAAATTATTTTGTACTGGGTTGAAAACCTTCTGTAAGACAAGCTACAAATCTTTTCCCTCATCTTGCTCGGTGCCCCTATAACACCTCATTTTCTTTTCATTCGGCCACTCATCCTCTTTATTTTGCTTCTTTTATCCATTCCCACTTAGTGTGAAAGGGGAATGTTTTTACTTTGATAAGTATTTTATTGTATGAAGAGGGCAAAGCCAGCTGGTGTGATCACTGTAGCATTCCAGATAGTTCAGAAACCTCAATATTTATTTGAGTATTACTATATTTTATTATATTATGTGCAACAAAGCCGTATAGTGATGGTTAAACAACTGGGACAGAGCATCTCCATAACTGGAAGTCTTGTGGGATATTTCCGGTATGTAGTACATGCCAAAAATGGTGCAACCGGTAAAACAGTGTCAGTGTCTCAATGAGCCTTGGGCACACACGCAGGTAGCAAAGGCTAACCCATCTGTTCTGATCACTTAGAAGAGCTACTGTAGGTCAAATTGCTGAAAACTTAATGCTGATAATGCATGATAGAAAGGTCAGTACACGCAATACATTACAGTTTTCTGCGTTAGGGGATGTGCAGCCGCAGATCTGTCAGAGTGCCCATGATGACCCTTGTCCACCACTTAAACCACCTTCAATGGGGACGTGAGTGTCAATACTGGACAACAGAAGAAGATTGCCTGGTCTGATGAATTAGGTGGATGTGCAGGAGCATGTGTGTTGTTTACCTGGGGAAAATATAGACATACTTACTGACAGACAGACACACACACTCACTGACAGACAGACACACACACTCACTGACACACAGTCAGACACACACACACTCACTGACAGACACACACACTCACTCACTGACACACACTGACAGACACACACTCACTGACAGACAGACACACACACTCACTGACACACAGACAGACACACATACACTCACTGACAGACACACACACTCACTCACTGACACTCACTGACAGACACATACATACACACATTTACACATTCTTGTTCACATTCACATCATTGTATTTATCCCTGGGGTATCCTGGGGTATCCAGTGGGGATCTTCTATCTCCTTCCTGCTGCTCACTGCTCCTTCGCGCACGCAGTTTAATGATGCCGGGTGATGGAATATGATGTCATATTCCGGCACCCGGCATCACTACAGACGGCTTGCGAGGGAGCAGTGAGGAGCAGGAAGACTGAGCTCCTCCAGCAACCTCTCCTCACGGCCGGGTAAATTTTAGCAGAGTAGGCACCTGCAATGTGGAGAAAACAGGTGCCTACTCTGCTTTAACACTACGCATGTACTCACGGCTTGAAAGGCCACAAAGATGTCCATTGTGGGCCGCATGCGGCCCGCAAGTTTGACATGCTTGATTTAGATACTATGATATATTAATCAGTACCAAACTCATAACAATCATCCATACAATATGGATTGTTGAATAAAATATACATTTATGACCCATTTTTATGACTTACATGTCAGGTGCCCGTAGCAAAAAATCCTTTAGTAAACCTACATAGGCAGCTGTCTACGCTGCCTATCGTGCCCTGTCTTTCCCTAATTCCCTTCTTGCACATCAGGAATCAATTCACTATATATATATATATATTTAACTTCTATTTTCTGTGCAAAGGTAAACGTTGACAGCAGAAACAAGCTGAGATTTAATGGCCCTACCCGAATATATTTTATTTTGATTCATACAGTTGTATTCCTTCATAAAGCTGACCCTAAAGTCTGTTTGATGGATTTATGGTAAACTGTTAGTGACTTAGGAATTAGTTCTACCTGGCATTGACTCAGACTTACCACTAATCACCTTTGCTTTTTTTGTTAAACATATTATTATTATTATTTTATTATTTATATAGCGCCAGCAAAATTCAGTAGCGCTGTACAATGGGTATTATTTTTGCGACTAATCCCCGTGAAACATTTTTATTTTTAAGTTGAATGCCTGCTCAACCTAACTTTTCTGCTGCTATAATTTTTCTGTGTGCTATTTGTGAAATAGCAGCAGTAAGCATGTTAGGTTGAGCAGCAATCGACAAGCCAAAATTAGAGTCGGAACCCAACATGGCTGCTTAGCCAGATAAAAAAAGCTATCTTTTCTCAGAACATACAACATTTGGAAAAAAAATAAATCCTAAAGCTTCATTAAATATAATAAACTTAAATTAAAAAAACGAGACGTGAAAATGTTACGACAGTTGTCCTTTAAGCAGATCTGGAATTCTAAATATATTATGATAAAAAAATAATCTGATTGCAACACCGCCATCTTGTCTGTTTCCTGCTGTTTTTATTTTCTTACAGACTGTACGATCGAATGTTTATTTTATCTACAAAACATACATCTGGTCAGATCGTTTGGGAGAGGAAGGAGTAGTTAGCTCTTTATTGGGTGCAGCGTTGTAAATGAAATGATAGTAGGAAGGGTCAAAATGAAATGGGAATCTGGCATGAGCACTTGATTAAAGACTCTGGGAGCAGTAAAGTTAGTTCCGTGTCTTTCACGTGTCATAGGCCCTTTCAGTTTATGTTTTCCTCTTTCACAAGGAGCTAGCAATAGCCTCATTGTTGAAAGTAAATGTATACTCTGCTTTAATCTTAGCAAAGAGCTCTCTCTCCCACATGTGCAATAATGTATTCAGCCCCATGCTCCACGTCCCCCCTTTCTTGTCCCTTTAAAAGCCCTGGGAAACTCTTAGTACCAATAGACACTGTGTATAAAGATGCCTCTCTTGTTGCCGCGGTAACTCTAAATGTAGCCTTGGCGATTTATTCTTCTACACTCACACATACTCAAGTGAATAGAATGACGTAAGAGCAAAGCACATGCACTGAATAAAGCATCCTTCAATCCTTCTTCTTTCAACCCTTATTCTTTCCTTTTGCTTTTGGTCATTCTCCTTAAGCGAGTGTGAAATGGTCGTACTGAGCTGATATAAAGACATAACAAGCCTTTCTGTGGGTTCCTTCAGAAAACAAAATCCCTCAGCTCCAGTGCCTCATCAGTGGTACAAAAAAGCTGGTTAGGTTACATTAGACCTAATGTTTTCACTTAGCAAATTGCTGAAAATTCCACTTTCTTTGTGGACTTGAAGTCTAGAAAAGAAACTTTAAGTAGTCTCTAAAACGTTTCTAAAACGTTTCTACATGTTTGGATTAAAAAATTGTTTAGTGCCTATAAAAATAAATATATATATTTTTATTTATTATTATTATTTATTATAATGTTTTATTTTTTATTTATTATTATTATTTATTATAATGTTTTATTTTTTATTTATTATTATAATTTTTTGTCCTTTGCCTGTATCTTCTACTTAATTTGTGCAATTTCCCAGTATATATAGGACGTCTGTTTCCTTATTGGCTGCTCAGTTTGTGTCCTTATACTTTTTCAAAAATAAATTTATAAAATATGCATAACCAGGAAGAATACATTTTACTTTCCATCGTTTTTTTCAGTACAGGTATCATAATTTCCAAACATAATGGTATTAATTCTACTGACATTGGAAACATCAGGGATTACCTTGCCAGGAACAGAACCCCAGGTTTGAACAGATTCTATGGACAGTGCAGCTATAATGAGAAACATGTTTGTGAACATGGTATTCAATTACATTGCTTTTATTTTGATTTGCTGAACTTAAAACACAGAACATTGAACATTGGAAATGAACATATTGATCAAGATTCATTATCACATCTCTGCTGAAAACACAACCTCTAGGGGAACAATATTTGATATTGTTACTTCCCTTCGTCTAAGCAACCCTTCCACTTGCTGAATTAGAATTTACATTCTTCAACTTCCAATGGATAATGTTATGTTCTCTGCTGAGCCCTTATCATCATCAGCTGTCCAGAAAACCACACATCCTCAATTATTTACCCCCTTAAGGACACAACTTCTGGAATAAAATGGAATCATGACGGAATATTTCCATCATGTGTCCTTAAGGGGTTAAAGATCTTTGTATTCTAGACAGGTATGACATTATAATGAAAATTACAAGATAATACATATCTGTGTAGGCTGGGTTAAACATTGATTAGGTTATCAGGTTTTCATATTAACATATTATTAATAACTATGAGCCTCTCCTATATACTGTCTTCTTTTTAAACTCATCTCTCTTCTTTCTGAAACATATGATGGGGTCCACATATTGAGCTGGGTAGGAGGGACAGATTACATCCAGTGAAATAGGATTTTAATATCTAAGAGTCTCAAGAGGATACGGAAGGAAGGAAGGAATGAATGGTAGCCTCCTAGCAAAAAGAGGCTTGATATTGTTATGTTTGTATAATGAAGTGTTGGTCCAGACCAGTAAAGATAAAATAATGTTTAACCGGTGAAGAACTGCAACTTTCCTACTTTTTGCTGCTGATGCGTGATGAAGTGATTCATTGTTTCCAAAAGGGCCAACACAAAGAGGGCCCACTGAAGAGTCATAAGAAGTTTAGAAACAAAGTTTTGGGTAGCAAACTCATGGACTTATTTTCCACGCGTTATGAATAGATTAATTTTCTCTAATCTCTGGGGTCCTAAGAGATGTGTGCATAGGACCATATTTACTGAAACTTTCTGAGAGTGATTAATATAAATGAGTTCAATGCTTTCCTAAAAGAAGCATTTGATTGGACGTGCACCTCGTCCCTGATCTAATCAAAAGATGCACTAGGACACTATAGTGTTAGGAATAGAGTTTTTCTATAACAATCCTTTCTTTCCTTCAAGAATTTGTTGTTATGGCATCACGTAGCTCCTCCTCAGTGTAAATATTGCTAAAGGTTATACAGTACGCTTGTAATAACCCACCTTTTATCCCCCATACTGGGGGACCTCACTTTTGTTTTATTTTCATTAAGGTCTCTGGGTGATATTTCCTAATCATAAGAATTGTGATTGCAAATAAGGGAAATTCTTACCCAAGGCCACCAGCCCACTTAAACTGGAATTTAAGTCTAGCAGATTGAAACTCTGTAATAAAACTGTGATGTGGGCTGGTGTTACTCAGTTACGTTATTTATATGGTTGTTTTGTGGCAAAAGAAATATAGTTCTGTAAGCAGTGAAGTGTAGCTCCCTAATCCAATCCACCATGTATTTATGTACTGCCCCTAAATTGTATATGGTATAGGTTCCCTTGTCCATTTTTTTTTCATATTAATATTTACAGTACCATGTTAACATTTTGTAAGGTAGTTTGACATATAGAGTATTGCAACCTGGGGTAGTTTATTTAATCCACAAAATGCATAACTCTCCATTTATCTACGTTGAAAAAATTTGATTATAAATGTTTGTACACATTGTAGCCCAATAGGTTAATGTTCACACTGAATATGTATAAACTAAAATTATTCAGCTTAATATTCTTATTGTATATGTATACATTCTAGCCAATGCAGATTTATGTTCATATTATATTTGCATATATTGTAACTTTTTCAGCTTAATGTTTTATATTGTAGCTAATTATATCAGCGTATTGTTCATATTGTATGTTTGAGTCCTTTCAGGTTTTTCATATTGTATATGTGTAAATTCTAGCTTTAGTGTGTGAATCTAGTTGTTTGTGTGGTTGTAGTTGTTTAGTTATGCTCTAGATTTGTTACCTACTTGTTACATGTGAATGTTCATATTGTATACAGTATATAAACATTGTTGATTTAGTATATGTCACTTGAAGACTGGCTTTAGATCTTTTATTTCAGTAAACTCTGCATTTTATCAAATATATTTCAATAATGCATTTATATAAATTCTAGTTGTAATTTGTTTCTGAAATGTAAAAAAAATGGTTGCAGTTGTGTTAGTTTAGCATATGGTGTGATATTGGTATTTTTATTTTGGAAATTATTTAATTTTGAAAGAAAATAAATCACAGTTTAGTATAATACAAGTGGTCATTATATTGTGTCAAGTTAATAAAGGAAGGACCCAGGTATGCGTTGAACTGTGTTAAAATGTTTTGCAGATTTTGTTGAAACTGTGCTTCTTCACTACTAGCGCCATAATCACTACAGCAGGTTATACCAGGCACCATCTTAACTTCCTTTTACAAGATTTAGAAAACCAATACTTTGTTGGCTAAATAATCATATTTCAGTTACACGCACATTGTTTCATATACATAGATCCATTTATATTAGATCTGCCTTCTAATTTAGTTACCTAGCAATAATGTGTGTTGGGCTTACACGCAGTACTCTAAAATTGTATATTTCCTATTTATTGTATTGGTGATTACAGGAGGTTCCCGGGTACCCTGGTATGAGGGCAAACCATCTCAAAACATTTTGCCCCATTAAAGATGATCAGTAACTACTAGGGCAGACTGCTTGGAGTAACCCTTTTATAACTTATGATGGACTTTTTCGATTGTAGGATTCTCTGAATCATTGTTCATTGTCAAGGAATTTCTTTTAAGATATTATTCTTATTTATGTATGGGTTGGTTAAATTTTTGTGATATTGGTAACTAGACATGCAAATAGTCATTCTGGGTGGAATTAAATTACTTTTAATCAACTGCGCTGCAGTTTTAACAATAAGAAGTCTCCGGGGACAAGCTAAAGACATCAGAACCATTATATTAAGCGGGATTGTTTCTGGTGACTGCACTTTCCTTTTAATCCTTTGTTTAACTCCTCTTAAAAACACCTCATGTGCCCTAATACTAAATAAAAACTCTAGCCCTAAACACAGTAATCCTTACACTACCCCTGTAATCAAATGCAAAATGTAATTCTACTCTAGTCCTTAACAACCCATATACCCATGGTCGGTGCTACACTATTCTGCGCACTAGGCAAGACCAGCTACTTGCATCCCCCAAAACAAAAAAGGGCCTCTTTCTCCCTCCAGCCCCCTCAGTCTCTTTCTCCCTCAACCCGTTTGTGTGTCTCTTTTTTCCCCTTCTCCAGCTCCTCTATGTGTCTCTCCCTCTCCCCCCCCAGCACCTATGTGGGTCTTTTTCTTCCCCCAGGCCTCTGTTTCTCTTCCTCCAGCCCCTTTAGCACCTATTTCTGTGCCCCAGCCTTTTTGTGTGTCTCTTTCTCCCCTCAGCCCTTTTGTTTGTCTCTTACTCCTTCAGCCCCTTTTTGTGTCTCGTTTTCCCCCAGCTTCACTCTGTGTCATTCCCCCAGCCCCTTTCCATGTCTCTCCTCCCCAGCCACTTCCTATGTCTTTCCCCCAACCTCTCTGTGTGGGCCATTATTCTCTTCCCCAGCTTCTCTGTGTGTCACTATCCCTTCACCAGCCCCTCTGAGTGTTTCTGTTTCCCTTTCCCCAGCTCTTCTGTGTGTGTCACTGTTCACTTTCCCAGGTCCTCTGTGTGTGTCACTGTTCCCTTCCCCAGCCCCTCTCTGTCTGTTGTTGTCCCCTTTTCCAGCCCCTCTGTGTGGGTTTTTCTCTCTATCCCCTTTCCGTACGGCTGAGCAAACTGCGGGTAGGATCTTCTCAATCCTCCAACCGGTTTGGCAGGAAGCTGTTCTTTTAGAAGAATCTTTAAATATCTGTGGATTTAGTACAGACATGTTTTCATACATTATGACATGAACAGTTAACCTTGTGATTTTTTTCTGCAATTCACAGTGGTGCTAAATCAGTCATGTGCTTTGTATGGAGTTAGTAACTTGACATTTTATGTGTGTGTTTCATACATATTTTCCGTGTCGGCTAGAATTCAACACTTTCACCAAGTCATTGATCTTTCATGACGTGATCTGCAGTAAGATTTATTCAGACATATTGCTCAAACACTTTCTGTGTCCCACTCAATAGTCATGTATTGTGTTAGACTATACATTTTGTCTACGTGCTGCCTTTTTGAATATGTGTGGTGTCATTTCTCTCTTCTCTATGAGTTTGCCCTATTGCTCATCTACTAGATTTGTAATACATTGGCTCACGTAGCCCTAGACTGGTCTAGATGCTACTAGATGTAGTTCCCTCATTACCAACTGCTTTGATTCATGCTGTCCGGCCTAGATGTTTTATTTACATTATTTAATCAATTTAGCTCTAAGATTCTTGTAGCCAAGATCTTTGAATTTACTAACAACATATATTTCTGATTTGAAACCCACACCTTCTAGTGCCCAACTTACCAAAATTTAATTTTAGAGAACCGATATATATTTTTCATTAATGTTTTCCACCGTTTCTCGGTTTTTATTTTAATTTTTAAACTTTACTGCCTTCTTTTAATGACCATTGCTGTTGTTGCATCTGATGTATACTTTAAATGGCATGCTCATTATTCTTTGTTTCTATATTATATATTAGTTATTCAAAGCACTGTATGATTGATTTTCCTTCTTAAATATAGTATATCTTAAAACAAACACATTGTATTTACTAACAGACACATGAATATAACAAATAAACATCCATAACTCATTAAACATAAAAACATTATGAGACATGAATATTAACAAAATATTTTTCAACAAGCAAAGTCCTTAAAGGAACACTTTTGTTAGGAATACAAAGATGCATTCCTATATTCCTGTAACCCCCAGGCATAAAAGGGTTAAACCGCCATTTAGTAGATCTTCCCTTCCAGAGACACAGGCACAGCTACTGCAGAACACCAGTCCGCAGAACTGGAAACCATATGAATGCCGTAAACAGCCGAATAGGAAAAACCATATGAATAGGTTTACACTCCTAGCAGTCAAACTGGAACAGCATACAATAAATCCCCCCAAGAACGAGACAAAGCTCCGTGTTGAGGGTCAAGCAGTGAACAGACAGAGCTGTGGGTTTATTATTCTTATATACACATTAGTACCACCCACAGGGTTTTGGAACACAACCAATAAACACATACAATACACTCAGACGCTCCCACACAAAATCCTCCCGTCTGCCTGTGATACAATTACCTTACACAATGGGTAATGTAATTAGCACAAGCAGAGAAATACAATTTTTCCACATTATTCATAACTTGAAAAGTATGCATCACATTCACAGTGGTTCAAAAGATAGATCATTGTCCTTTGTGACCAAATGAAGCATGGATTTTCTGCCCAAAACCAGTTCCACAGAGTCTTCTATCCTGGAGATAATTGGGAAGTAATCCAATTATCTCCAAAGACAGAGGCAAAACTCCATTGAACACATGGCAGCAAAAGACAATAAAACACATAAAAACATATAACTGTGCAGCTATTGCACAAAACAAGTACATTCAACATATCCCCAGATAGCTCAGATCTGAGCGCACATTATTACTGAATGGCGTTCAGATCACACACCTACAGTTCAATTGCCATGGAGCCAAAGTCTTTCCCATAGTCTTTCATTATACGAATGGGCTCCATGGCATAGCTATCTGGGGTATCACTGCTCAAACAGGGCAAGCAGCGAATGACCCGGCTTTCATGTCTTTGCAGGGGAAAATCAAGCGTTTCAACATGGGGCGATAGTCTAAAGGCAGCAGGCGGGCAACCAGGCTCCTCCAATGCACAGTGGCAAGATTGGTCTCGTCACAATTCCTAACACCAAAGTGCTTCTCTGACCGCATTGCAGCCCCCCCCTCCAACCCCCTATCTCCCCAGACTCCCACTGTCCATGACAGGGTTAAAACCCTTTAATTTACCCATACCAGATTCCAGCTCCAATGTCCCTCAGTGCTGGGTCATGCTCCTCCTCCTCTAACTTCAGCCTATGGGGCAGCCTAATGAGCATGTGCGGCGAGCACTGTGTGTGCATCAGGCCTTCCTTGTTGAAAGCATTAAGTCAATGCTTTGCTACGGGGATTTAGAAGACATTGGACTTTCTCATGCAGAACATGAGGACGTCTAGCGTCGTTTCAATGAGTAAAACTACAGGAAGAGCCTCTAGTCACTGTCTGGTTCTCTAAAACATTTGTAAAACAATGTAAAATATTGCAGGGTTAAGGAAACAGGTACGCTGCACTCAGACCACTTCAATGAGATGAAGTGTTGTGGATGCCTATAGTATCCCTTTATTTACAAAAGTATCCATAGAAAGCAGATACTATTACAGAAGTAGAACAGTAGGCAGATGCATTTATATAAACTAGACGTGGGTGTTGCCTCAATATTAGTTTTATCTGAATACATTCAGACAAGATAAATGTATTAGTTTGGTCATTCGTTATCAGACGAAATTCGGCCATTATTTTCATTTTGGAATTTCATTGAAGGCAGGCTGGAGGAGGCAGTGTTCTGATGGAAAACCTTGGGTCCTGGCATTCATGTGGATATTACTTTGACACATACCACCTACCTAAAGATTGTTGCAGACCACATTCACCTTTTGGTGTTCCCTTTTGGCAGTGGTTTATCTCAGCAGGATAATACAGCCTGCCACTCTGCAAAAATTGTTCAGAAATGGTTAAAGGACCAGGACAAAGAGTTCAACTGAGCATCTGTGGGATGTGCTGGAAGAGCAAATCCAATCCATCGAGACTCCCACCTCGCAACTTGCAGGACCTGAAGGTTCTGGGACCATGGTCTTGGTACCAAAAACCACAGGGTATGTTCATGACAGGAGTCCACGTCTCAATGCATCAGAGCTGTTGTTTCAGCAAGAGGGCAGGTGGTTTTAATCGTGTTGCTGATCACTATATATATTCTTAGCCAACATGTTTTTGTTGGTTGCTGCATGGGATCTACAACATTTAGGTGTTTGATATCAGACCAGTTTCTGTTCTACAGGTTCTATTGTTCAAATATACCATAACCCACTTGGTGTTAGCAAAATATGATAGTGATAATATTCAACTCTTTACAAGTGGATCTGACATCTAACTACTTGTTGGGCTGACATGTTATTTCTCCCTTTTTCTAGGCATGGCAGCTCTTGACAGTAAGGCTTCAGGGAAGATGGGCATGCGTGCTGTTGTGTACTACATGACGACAACAGTGATAGCTGTGTTCATTGGAATTATCATCGTAATTATTATCCATCCAGGAAAGGGCAGCAAGGATAAAATGCACAGAGAAGGGAAGATTGAAACGGTTACTGCTGCTGACGCGTTTCTTGATTTGATTAGGTATGAACTGATCTCAGTTAACCAATGGTCATACAGCCAATCTGTCTAGACATTTCACTGTGAATTACATACACATCACCAGAATATAGGTCTCTATCTCAAAGTGGAATATAATCTATATTCAATACTATAAATGCCACATTAAGAAATCTATAGTTTCAAAAACTATGTAAACAAAGTCATCGATTTTTAATATATTATAGCTATAGATTTGTGGATATTTTGAGCACATATTTAAACCACCTATTGTTGTATTTATTTTTTGTATCAGTTACCATGATACATGTTTAGCAGCTAATCAGAAAAAAAGAAAACAAGTATATTATGGTGCACATTACATTCTCTGCACAAGAGTTATATTGTGGAAGTGCAAATATGTTATTAGATTATATCAAAATTTATTAGCCATCTTAAAAAAAAATCAGCCCATTATATCAACATTATTTTCTGGGTTTTTTTTTAAATATTTTATGTAGATACAAAAACCATATAATATGTTCTATATTCTTCAATGTAGTATGTTTTGATTAGTGATATGTAAGAACAAAGTGTATTTACTCTGTAAGGGTACTTTATAGGATAATGTAGATTTTATCATTCTTGTATCTTCTTTTGAATAGGAACATGTTCCCTCCAAACATGGTGGAAGCTTGCTTTAAACAGGTATGCATGTTGCATTTTGTTAATTTGTTCAGTTGTCTAGCATGATCCACAAAATGTACATACGCTAGCAATGCAATAAGAAAACAAGATCATTTCAAATATACACTTAAAGGGTTGCTCCAAACTAGTAAGAAATATTACACATGCTGACATTTTTTTAATTGCTCCACCTCCGGCACCATCATTAGCCAGCCCGGAAAAGGACTTTCAGGCTGAGTAATGTCAATCCTGCGCATATTCCTTGCACTGAGAATCATTTATTGAATGTGAGCACTCAACTGGCGCTCTCAGCTAATGAATGACTGGTGGGATCGGCATCCAGCTTTTGCAATTCTGCATGTGATGTTCGTTTACTTGCTCCCAGCAAACAAAGTGAGCCGCTCAGGAGGGAGGAATAGCCCAGTAAATGTCCACTGAGTGCAGCCGTTGCCCGATCCCACAGGATGGGGAGGGTGGCTAAAACAAGCTAAATGTCAAAATCTGAATTTGTGTGTGCTTCTGTCAGTGTTTTTGTGTCTGTCAATGTGTTTGTCTGCTTGTGTGTATATGTTTGTTTGCCAGTGTGTGTGTATATGTCTGTGTGTTTGGCAGTGGATGTGTGTGTCTGTATGTTTACCTGTGCATGCATAGTGTGTATGTTTGTCAGTGTATGTGCCTGTCCGACAGTGAATGTTAAGTAGTGTGTGTGTGTGTGTGTGTATGTCTCTCTGGCATTTTATATGTGAGTGTATATATATCTTTGATTGTATATGTCTGGAATGTATATGTGTGTGTGTGTGAGTTTGTATATATGTGTCGGGGAGCTTGTTCTCAAACACTGGGTTTGAAAGGTTTTCCAAGTGTTATGATGTTAGATTGTCAGTTTGACCGCAGTGCTAAAAGGACATGATTTCAGGTCACTTCCTCCCAGCTAGTCAAAATGCCATGTGGAGACAGTGAAGAGAAAGGAGAAGGCAGAAAGTGGAGGGGTTCGTGGGTTAAGAAAGCCTGGACAGCCAGCCTCAGACTCCCAAAGAAACCAGAAGGTGTGGAAACAGGAGGGTGGCTAAAAATATATAAATTATGACTTGCATGAATGTGTGTGTGCCAGCGTGTGTATCTATGTGTGTGTTTCAGTGTGTATGCGTCACACTCTTTCCCAAATGTTACTATTAACGGCAAGATTTTAGGGAACACAATAGCATAGAATCTTTTACCTTTGTTTCAGTGACTGGAGGGTCTCTTGAAATGTTTTCCCCAGTAAAGTTGTTTAAATGCACCGCTTGAAACTGGGAAGCAATGCACAGAGAGGATGTAGGTAAGAGATTAATAATTTGAAACGTATTAGCAGAGACAGACAGATAAGTTCATAATACAGAACTGGTCCATGTCAGGGAACGCTGAAGCGTAGAGATTTGGCAACATAATATCAAGATGGTTTAGTTTCAAGGTGTTGGGAGGTTAGCTACAAAATAATTGAACAGTTTGTTTTTCAATTAGTGTAACCTTCTGCTTTATTGGAAACCAGGCACAATCTAAGCAGAGCAATGGAATGGGAAACTCCCACATTTGTAGATTATAACACCATGTGTATCTGCGTGTCAGTGTATATGCGTGTCAGTATATATGTGTGTCAGTATGTGTGTGTGGCAGTATATTTGTATATTTGCATAACAGAATTAAAATTCCAAAAATACACAAGTACATTCAAATGCCAACCCTGCAAACAATCACATCACTACATTCAAATGCAAACACTACACACAAACATGCCACTGCTTGCAAATGGCAACAGTGCATATAAACACACTGCTTTGAAATGCCCAAACTATGCACATATGCTAACATACCAACACTGCACAGTGCTCCCAAATACAACTGCACAAGGAAGGCAAATGGTAGATCCCCAGCTGACAAAGCATTGTGGGAGATGTATGAAAAATGGTGAGCTACCTTTGGACACCCTTGCACTACACGGGGGGCTCAAAAAATTATTGTGTCGTGGCCCTCTCTACATTATTTCTGACACTGACTATGCTAAGGTATTTTAGTGCAATTACACTTTTTAAATGATAAAAAGGAAATTATGTCATACACAACTTAATTATTTTTTTACACTATTCGGGTAACTCGGGTTCCTGTCAAAAAGAACCACTGTGTTATTGCCTTTTTTTCTTCAAATCTTTAATTATTAAATAGCATTTAAATATCTTGTGTATTGTTCATCATCTAATCACGGTATGTTATTTCCTATACAGTTCAAAACAAATTATGAAAAGAAGCTTTTTAAAGTTCCAGTTCCTCAGAATGAATCATTGGTGTCAGCTGTTGTAAACAACGTATCGGAAGCAATGAGTACGCTCTACAAGATCAGGGAGGAATTAGTACCTGTTCCCGGAGCAGTGAATGGCGTCAATGCCCTTGGGCTAGTAGTCTTTTCTATGTGCTTCGGTTTTGTTATTGGCAACATGAAAGAGCAAGGAAAGGCTTTGAAAGACTTCTTTGACAGCCTCAACGAGGCAATTATGAGATTGGTTGCTGTTATCATGTGGTATGTTAAAATCTGTATTCAAATTCATAGTATGTGTAAATCTTTTTAATATTCTGCAAAAGAAGTTATGAAAGAGATTATAGACTAACACTTAAAAAAAACTATTATCGGATCCCCTCCCAATGTGGCATAAGGTGGTAAAATTTCAAAGAGCTGTTCATAAATGAAGGCCTTTAAAAACTCAAAGCATTTTGATGGCTTCATTTAAAATGGAAATCACATTGTTGAATACTATTAAGTTTAAATTTAACTAGTTTCCATTTTAATTGCATGAGACTGAAAAACAGGGGAACACATATTGGTCTTCAAAACAACCCACAGTTATTATGTTATTTTTTTTTGTTATGTTTAATTTTTATAATATAAAACACATACAAGTAAGAGTAAAGCACATTGTCTCCCCATTCTATGATTTGGTATATGGCAAAAATTTCCTAAACTGTACCTGTCTCGTGTTCTGTGTATCACAGACACTATTGTTGTTTTATATTTCTGACATGTGTATTAATTGCTCAAATAACAAAAGAGCTTAAAAATAGCTCATAGTTCCATTTGACCCATTTTATGTCCTGAATGAGGATTCCCTTCTCATCTCTCTCTCCCTGTGCATTTAGTAAGTGGTTATTGATATGGTAGAGGACCCTAAAACCTTCCTTGTGGATACTGAAAGCTACATTTACGCAATTAACAGTGGTAGAAAACAGCATAGTATAGAATCATGGAACCCTGGACACCATATACACTCAATTAAATTGCACCCTATATTTCTACTCTTACTTAAACCATCTTAAAGTATTTAACAGTCAAAAAATCACAGAGTAATATTTGTTGTCTAACTCCATCTGACTCCATATATATTGTCTCACTCCATATATAGTCTCTCACTCCATGTATAGTGTCTCACTCCATGTATAGTGGGAGAAGCCAGGTTATGTATTCTTCATCCCCATTCTTCGGATATTAAATAGATACTTGTTTATTGTGTGTGGAAATCTCTTAAATACCCAGAGAGAAAACACTGAACTTTTCTATGTCCACAAAAATACATAAGAAATGTACTTTATTTGTTCCTTTTACACATTTTCACCATCTCGCTTGGTTAATCAGTGAGAGAGTTTCAAGTACACAGATGCAGTATCCACACATATCATTTGAAATGCCAGTTGTGCTTGACACTTGGTATGTCCAAACCAGAGCATAAATCCTGTGCCAGAGAAGTGCCCCTACCTTAACCACATACATATATATGTATATCTTTTATTTTGGAAAGTAATATAGTAATGTTATTACTTCTAACAGCCACTGACTGCTATGTATACCACTATGAGGCTTTTTCATTGCATATACTCTCAGCTGTTAAGTCTCACTAATATCTCTAATTCTAAATGGTTAATCTAACAATTTTTCACTGTTGGGATTTTTTTTCAGTTATATTGGTCATTATATACTAGGCCCCCCTTTAACACCTGCAAAAAAAAAAGCTTTTGACTTACCTGTAATCCAGCACAAGGCAAAATTATTGGGGCTGCTCTGCACAACTCGGCCTGATGTCAACACTGCCCTTATTAAATATTTTAAATGTGTACAGTGGAGCAGTTCATCCAGTTTAGGACATTCTGAAAGAGTAAGTTATTCGTGATATATATGACATCATGTTGTCAGCTCTGGTGTCATGAATGAAGAGTGGAGTCACCACTCAGAGAAGACACATTTTAATGTTATTGTTGCAATCTGTCCAAGACTCTGCATACTAAACACAAGCAGCAAAGGAGAGAAGCATCTCGGTCAACACCTACTCGAGCTATAGGATAGGTCAGCAGAACGCCTTCTTTAACAAGTGTAACGTGCCTGCCAGCGCAAGTACACCATCAACAAATAAACTACTTAGTACACTTACTAGTTAATCCATATATGACATTATAATATATCAGCAAGACGTTTTCTTATTGTTTTGTCACTTTTTGTATTTACGATCATTAATTTAACTTTTTCCTGGATCGTAGGTATGCGCCAATTGGAATTCTCTTCCTAATTGCTGGGAAGATTGCAGAAATGGAAGATATGGGTGTAGTCGGTGGTCAGCTTGGCATGTATACTATTACGGTTATTGTTGGATTGCTTATACATGCTATTATTGTTCTACCACTGCTTTATTTCTTGGTAACCCGCAAAAACCCTTGGGTGTTTATTGGTGGATTGCTGCAAGCCTTAATCACCGCTCTGGGAACATCTTCAAGGTAAGAGTGCGGAGCTGTTGATATCCATACCTAAATGTCAGATTTGCTTGAGATTAAATATGGGATATGCACAAAATTAAATTCTTATATTCCAAGGATCTTGCAAATTGCCTATTGATTGTGTACTTTCCAAATTCAAATCTTGTTCTAGAGCCAATATTACTAAAAAAAAAAACTACTTTCCAAGTTATTCACTAAAGTGAAAATTGCCAGAAATTCAATGTGTAAATTTCAAATTTAAAGCCAAAATAGCCAAGTTTAGCGCCAAAACAGAATTGACTTTTTCTTTTTAATTCAGGTTTTAGCCTAAATTTTGAAATTCACTTTGACTTCTCAGCAATTTTCACTCTTTTTAGCTTTTTAATTTTTTTAATTTTCCTTTTATCACTAGTAACAACCTTTACCCATGATGTGAGGCCCAGTATTTCATGGGATATCGCAGCAGCTTCTCGGCCCCTTCAGAAGTTGCAGACTTGCAACATATACGTAAAAGTCATATCAGTTATAGATTATACTTATTTAACCTTTGTCTTATTTCAAATGGTGGACAATTCCAACCTGTAGTGTCTATTTAAAACACCCACAAATCAAACCTCTCATGATACACAATAGCAAATTGAAGTGAGCTGCAGCACAGTGGGAAGACCATACAGCGGTTTCACAGGACAGGTACCACTCAGAACAGGTCTCGTCATGGTCGACCAAAGAAGTTAAGTACACGTGCTCGGAGTCATATCCTGAGGTTGTCTTTGGCAAATAGACGTATGAGTGCTGCCATCGTTGCTGCAGAGGTTGAAGGGGTGGGGGTCAGCCTGTCAGTGCTCAGACCATACGCCGCACACTGCATGGTTGTCGTCCCAGAAGGAAGCCTCTTCTAAAGATGATGCACAAGAAAGCCTGAAAACAGTTTGCTGCAGACAAGCAGACTAAGGACATGGATTACTGGAACCATGTCCTGTGGTTCGATGAGACCAAGATAAACTTATTTGGTTCAGATGGTGTCAAGCGTGTGTGACAGCAACCAGGTGAGGAGTACAAAGACAAGTATGTCTTACCTACAGTCAAGCATGGTGATGGGAGGGTCCTGGTCTGGGCCTGCATGAGTGCTGCATGTACTGTGACATACTGAAGCAGAGCATGGTCCCCTCCCTTCGGAGACTGGGCCGCAGGGCAGTATTCCAACATGATAACGACCCCAAACACACCTCCAAGATGACCACTGCCTTGCTAAATAAGCTGAAGGTAAAGGTGATGTACTGGCCAAGCATACCTCCAGACCTAAACCCTATTGAGCATCTGTGGGGCATGCTCAAACGGAAGGTGGGGAAGCGCAAAATCTCTAACATCCACCAGCTCTGTGATGTCGTCATGGAGAAGTGGAAGAGGACTCCAGTGGCAACCTGTCCATGAGGGTTAAGGCAGTGCTGGAAAATAATGGTGGCCACACAAAATATTGACACTTTGGGCCCAATTTAGACACTTCCACTTAGGGGTTTACTTACTTTTGTTGCCAACAGTTTAGACATTAATGGCTGTGTGTTGAGTTATTTTGAGGGGACAGCAAATTTACACTGTAGGTTGTACACTTACTACTATACATTGTAGCAGAGTGTCATTTCTTCAGTGTTGTTACATGACAAGATAAAAGAAAATATTTACAAAAATGTGAGAGGTGTTCTCACTTTTGTGAGATACTGTACATACCTAATATGAATAGGAACATACTATATGTAATAGTCTACATTTTTCAATACTTTGTGTGATATATATCAAATTTAACAATTTAAATTCCAATACACATATATATATATATACCATTCTTTGTTTTAGCTCAGCTACTTTGCCAATTACATTTAAGTGTTTGGAAGAGAACAATGGCGTTGACAAGCGTATAACAAGATTCGTTTTACCAGTGGGAGCTACAATTAATATGGATGGTACCGCGCTCTACGAAGCTCTGGCAGCTATTTTCATTGCTCAAGTCAACAATTATGACCTTAATTTTGGGCAGATTATTACAATCAGGTATGGAAATATTGGCATTATATAACTTATACGGTTTAAAAAATAAGGCAGAAATTACAATCTTAAGACATGGAGTGTAAATCCAAACATGTAATATTTCTACCTGTGTCTGTGTGAAACTGCCTGTAACTGTGTGTCTGTGACAGTCTGCCTGTAACTGCGTGTCTGTGACAGTCTGCCTGTTAAAAGTGTGTGTGTGTGTGTTTGACTGACTGTTGGACTGTGCTTTATTGATTAAATGAGTGAAATATTATGTTAGGAAACAAATTTTCAATCTCTACACAGGTAAGTATAATTTTATAAATTTGCCTGTATTTACTAAGAAGGGGAAAATTAATTGTTTCAGAATATTTTGTAAAATATCATTTACTAAAAAATGCAAACAGTTTTGTTTGCATACCTTTCATATTTATCCATGTACCTCAGCACTAAAAGTTCTATTTTGTAAATAACATACCCAATCTTTACAACCTAGGAATATTGATATAAGTGAATAAATAGGGAGATATTAAAGGACCACTCTAGGCACCCAGACCACTTCAGCTTAATGAAGTGGTCTGGGTGCCTGGTCCTTCTAGGGTTAACCCATTTTTTAATAAACATAGCAGTTTCAGAGAAACTGCTATGTTTATCAATGGGTTAAGCCTTCCCCCTAATCCTCTAGTGGCTGTCTCATGAGGTACCAGCAATCAACACCTGGAAAACCCTCATTTACATCTTAAAGGACTTCTATAGCCACCCAAGCCCAGACCACTGCACCCAGACTACATCTCAATGACGTGGTCTGGGTGCAGTGGTCCTACAATGTAAAACATTGCAGTTTTTTAGAAATGGCAATATTGACTTTGTAGGGTTACATATCTCCAGGGGCTATCTTACAGTCAGTTTAAGAGGTGATTCTTGTTGCAGCAACCAAGTAAAACCCAGTCCCGTGACTGCAGATCCCATAAAAAAGCATTGAATCTATGGGGAAATTAAATGTGTGTGTGGTGATGGCTTCACATGCACATCAGGTCCCCAATGCTCCTCTATAAAGAACATTGGAATAAACCGACGCATGAGAAAGCCATGCCTCCTTGCTGGAGAAGGAGCGGTAAGCAGTGCCGAGGGAGCCACAGCACTGGAAATAAGTAAAAAACTATTTTTATTGTTTTTATGGTGAACTGTGGGGGGGACCTGTATAGATAGGGACAGGGACACTAAAGCATTAGGAATATGTTTGTATTCCTAACGTCTTTGTGTTCCTATAACTGGAGTGAGATGTCTACAGCCTTAAGCTTTGGAATTCTCATTAAGCCATTGCTGAAGTTTGATCAGTAGAAAGAAAACTATGATTTAACCTTTGTCTCAATTTTCATGTTTGAACCTGCTTTTTCACTTTTTCATATTAGTATCACTGCTACTGCTGCAAGTATCGGAGCCGCAGGAATCCCACAAGCAGGCTTAGTGACCATGGTCATTGTGCTGACATCTGTGGGTCTTCCCACTGAGGACATCACGCTGATCATTGCAGTTGACTGGTTTTTGTAAGTATTTTATACTTTAGAAGAATTGTATTATGCCTCTGTACCTGTCTTTTTTTTTTCTCTCTCTCCATCTGGTTAAAAAAAAAAAAAATTCTATCCTATGAAATTAACTTTAGCATTTTTATTAAGAAATTATAAAACAAAAAGTTGAAAATCAATAGTAGAAAGACACAACATTAAACATGAAATCTGAGATAATTCATATTTTGAGCCCTGTGTCTGACAATAATTTAACAATGCTTTCTTCCTCCCCTCAGTATCATGATACTGGCGACTTGTTCCATTGTGTTTCTGTTAGCAAACATAAAAAAAAAATAAAAAATTGACAATCATCAATGGAAAGATGACTCATAATTAAGAAGAAAATATTTTATTCCTACAGGCAGATAATTTACTTTCAAAATGCTATTTACATTTTTATAGAGAAGATACGGCCTCAGATGTAGGAAAAACCTACACTGTTGCCATAGAGAAGGTTACGAAGGTAATAGGGGGCATGAACCCAATTAACATCAACACTTGAAAAATAGAAAAAGTGAAGTTAGATCTCCAAATACAAATTAAATGGGACCCACCTCACTGGAATTACCTCTATTGTTAAAATATCATAAATGGTAATAGACTTTATTGAAAACCAAATACACATAGCATAAACAAATCCACGTAAAAAAATGTGTAAACACAACCCACCGTGTATAAGACAAAAAACCTGGGGTAGGAATACTCATATACATGTGTATATGCGGCTACGGTACTGGTTCATGCTGTTGTTCTCTCTCGCCTTGACTATTGCAATCCCTTTCTCACCGGTCTTACATGTTCCCAGCTTGCACCGCTGCAATCTATAATGAATGCGGCTGCGAGGCTTATTTTCCTGTCCGGTCGCACCTCCCACGCCTCCACGCTCTGTCAGTCCCTGCATTGGCTTCCAGTTAGATATAGGGCCCAATTCAAAATTCTGGCGCTTGCTTACAAATCCCTACATAATGCTGCTCCAACATACCTATCCTCGCTCATACATAAGTATGTCCCGTCGAGACCCCTGCGCTCAGCCCAAGACCTACGCCTATCCGCTGCCCAGATCCTAAAGCCTATCAATTAAACTGTCAGCAGGTTTCTCATCCCCCACCCCATGACTCCGTTCCTGCAACTGTCAAAAATGACCTACCAAGCACTCAATAAACCCTTCTGTAACAAACTATTTAATTCCCCTACTTTAACTCTTTGTGTCACTATACCCCACTCCCTCTAGCATGTAAGCTCATCGAGCAGGGCCCTCAACCCCCTCTGTTCCTGTACGTCAGTGGTCTGATCTCAATTATGTGTCTGTTAGTACACCCATTGTACAGCGCTATGGAATTTGTTGGCGCTATATAAATAATAAAATAATAATAATAATAACAATGTGGAGATCAGTATCTGTAATATATACTATTGGATTAAACCAGAATATGTAGACAGATCTTCCATATATATATATTTAAAGTCAGGCTCAAAATATAGAAGGAGCGTTCATTCCATGCTCTGTCTCAGGTATAATTGACAAAGTGCCTTATATTAATTAGACGCTGGACATGCTGTGTCCAAGTGACCAGTCCTGTGGTCTATACAAATGAGTAATCTTGGCTGCATGCAGTAAAATGGTCTAAAAAGACCTTGTTAGCAGAGAAGGTTTGCTGATATGAATAGGCCTAGTGGTAAGGATAGGAGCGATGTCTTAAAGGATACATTGTAACTAGTATAAGAGAAACTTAGATACCAAAGGAAAAATAAACTTGTAATTTTTAATAGAGATAATTCCAGTGAGGTGGGTCCCATCTAATTTTTATTTGGAGACCTAACCTCACTTTTTCTATTTTTCAAGTTATCACAATTTTACACTAAATAAAACAGTGACAGTATATGTATTCATTAATGTTATTGATCAATTAAATACTTGCGTAGCAAAACCTAATGTTAAAATTTGTTTATATTCTAGGGACCGTCTTCGTACCACAACAAATGTGCTTGGAGATTCACTGGGAGCTGGTATCGTGGAGCACTTATCTAGACATGAGCTCAAAAGAGGAGATCCTGAAATGGGTAATTCAGTTATTGAGGAGAACGAAATGAAGAAACCATACCAACTCATTTCACAGGAAAACGAACCAGAGAAACCCTTAGACAGCGAAACAAAGATGTAGAAGATCATAGGAGTTTCTTTAACTGATTGGATCATTCCATTTCATTCCCTTTTGGCTTTCGAACCAACTGGTGTGATAGCAGGAATACTGATTATTAAGTTATCCAGAAATAGCAGGTGCCTCAGTACCCCTTTATAAATGATCCAAATTAAAAGTTCTCTTGTCATCGTGGCCCTGCTCCGATTGTGCTAACCAGGTGAAAATAATGCCATATTCATACACAAGATTTTTTTTAATTTCATTTTATTATTTTTTTTCTGGGTAAAAAAAGGGCATATTGTCAAGACTTCAAAAAAGTCCATTAGATGAGATAAACATTTATTACAGTGTCTAATCCAAGTAAACATGGAACACAGTAGGCTACATCACGTTAATAAAAATGAATTACGGACCTTTTATACCCATATACTATTTGAGAGCCAGAACAGCATCCATCGATTGAATAAAATTATATTATCAACTATTGCTCGAAAGGCAAAGTATTTTCTATAATTGTTTTTCTTTCCACAAAACAAAATATTTAGATTCCAATCCATTTGGACAATAGGAAAGCTTGGTGGATTTATGTTTGGTGTATTATATCTATATATTTTTTTTTTATAACCTCCGGTGTCAAGTGTCACAATGTCACAATTACCTCCTATATTTTGGATGCCCATCTCGTTTGCTACATGGGAGCTTAATTTAATAGAAAGTATTACACATTATTCTGAAAGTGGCATTAGGTTATATAAGTCGATTACTTTGAAAAGCACAAACAATATTCAAATTATAATTTTTATTTGTAACATTTACATGAAATGGAGTAGATTCATCTATGAAATAGTACAGAACTTTTCACGAGACCTTGAACCCAAATGTACCTGCAGGATCTTTTCCTGGAAGTGCTCATATTAATTGTTCTGTAAATATAAATATGTGTGAGTAAAAAGAGAGATTTTTTTTTTATCGAAAGTGCACAGTATGAAATTTCAGAAATGGTTCTCGATACTAGAATGTTATACTGGGTACCTTTCAAAAGGAAATACAGGCATTACAATTTAAGACAGAAAGATATACATTACAGACATTTTATTTTGCTAATAAGAATATAGAAAGCAAACTTATAAAATGTAATTAGAGATATTTTTATAATAGATTCTGTTTACATGTGTACAAAATGTAACTTTAACTCTAGCTGATAGAACTTAACCGTAATTTTTTTTTTGTCATCTGTGAAAATGTGTTGTCTTGTCCTAATGTCAAAGTTTGTGCAACTATTTGTAAAAAAAAAAAAAAACAATTGTGTTTGTGACTTTTGACTAACTATTTTCATGAATATCAGGTACTGTAGAATATTCTTTCCACATTCCATTCACTGGTTCTGTTTTCAGATGTACCCGGTGTGGACTGAAAAACTTTACTTTGTAGGAGTATTTTCAATAAAAAATAGATGATAAAATCGTTTCCAGAGTACATCCTTTATTTCTGGTGTACATGCAGAGTACACTATTTCATGACTAATTTTTTTTCTGTTCAGTGTTCTTTCCATCAATTCATTTTTTCAGTGTCCCCTATTTTCCACCTATTTGAATACCTAGGCTGAAGATATGCAGTCATGCAACATTATGTGCAAAATTATATACACAGTATACATGGCAAGCATTTGAAATGAAGAAAATCAAACAAATGGTGGACAGTTACTGATATGGGATTTACTGATATGATGGGACAGAAGATGCTTCTGAGTAAACATGTTTACAATGAGGTTGCTAGACAAGGTTGGCTTGACCACCGTAGGGGAAAGGAAGAAAACAGCAATGAACTAATGCTAACTCAAAAAGGAGTTGGCTAGAGGCAAAGGTTATACCATGACCTTCCTTCCTTTTACATCCACCCAATCCCTTTCACCCTACCTACTTTTTCTTCTTCAAAACTTAGCAAATACTCACACCAGGAAAATGAAACATATGAAGGGCGAGAAATGTAGCTAACATAGAAACATAGTAGAGTTATATGAATATAGATGGGGCACATTGGATGCAGCTACCCAACCTGCAATGAAGGGATGGGGAAATGTAAAACAGGGAAATGTAAGATGTAATGACCATTGAAGGCACATGCAGGTCAGATCTAGGATGAGGGACTCAAATGCAATATTTACTTACTAAGATGCTGTTCCTCCTAAGAACTCTGTTAATGTGAGAAAATGTATTGGTTGTATCCGAAGTTATGGCTGTGATTCATGATCCATTTCTTTTCTTCTCCTTATTTTGATTGTTGTTCTATCATGTAATAACTTAAAATCTATTCAAATAAAGGCTGGAATGACTTTTCAGAGCAAAGTTAAAAAGCCATTCAAGTGACAAATTAGAGCATTTGTACGTACCCTGTTGGGTGGTAACGTCAGGGGCCGGCGCATCCATTAGGCTAATATATCCATATGCTCCAGCCCTTTGCGTAGTAATTTCTGGGATTGAATCAAGATAGAAGAAAACCGAAAATGGGACAGCAAGATCTCCAGAGACAAAGATGCAGGAGGAGGTATCACACTGATCAAAATGGGGCTACTTCCAGTGCTTCCACCAAGGGCACCAGGAATCGGCCCTTGGAAACATGCATACATAAAAAATATTATTTGCCTTTAACAAATGATTCCACGTAATATATGCAAAAAAACCAAACAAACAGAAACAAGTAAATAGTGCAATACGATCATTGTAAACTTATGATAAAGTGAGTTAGTAGGGGTACTCGTCACTCTTAGTATTCATTTAGTATACATTTATGAACCACCTCAATGATTTCCTAAAAGCGATCCACTTTGTCACATATATTCTTTGTTTTTGTTTGTAACGTATGTGGGGATAAGTGTGAAGCTGCTGTAAGGTACATTTTTCTCTAAATTGCACTATTCTTTCATAGTATTAAGAGCTAATTTATAGTTTTTAAAAAAAAAGAACATTTACTGAACTGATCAAAAGGAGACATGGCCCAGCATTTGAATCTGTCAAAACTCAAAGTTTTAAAACTCTTATCGGTACCATTCCTGTGTAACACCGCAAAACATAACAAAACAAAACTCTGGCAAAAAATATATCTGAAAAGCATTTGGGTACTGATGGCATACAGATTGATTATACACTGGACTTTTTATTGCCGTTGTCTATTAATAATACTTATAACAAAAAAGCAACATTCAAGTAGCACAATTATATTATTGTTTTCATACTTTAATCTGTTGTGGAATCTCCAAAAATGGTCAGCACACCTTGAGTTCCAACATCAGACTGAGTTTAGCATAATGCTATAAACGTTGGTTCCGAGTTTGTTGTTTTGGTTGTCCAGCCAGTGTTTCCAACAAAGATCTTGATTTAATTATTTTGTATAAGCATTTTAAATTATCCCAATTTGTGTAAACACCTTTTTAAAATAATTCATCATAAGTCACCATAAAAGTCTATGCAAATACTTGTATATAAATCATTTGAAAAGTTTTTCGTACAGATTGTGAGCATTTGAAAATCGTGTCCAAAAGAATTAAATCGAGGCCCTACTGTGAGAGATATATGAAAGGTGCAAAATACCCGATGTAAAATATCCTGGGTTGCCAAATGTTGAAAATTGGGTGCTTTTATGATGGTAATTTGAACTGATGGGCTATTACGCTCCTGCTAATGAGACATATGCCTAACAAAATCCCAGCTGTGAAAATGAAAAAGGGAGGACCTTAATTTGGCGCTGTAACACTAAAAAAATTGTTGTACACATTTGTCATTTGTCATTTTGTTTTTCCTTTTCTGTACATCATTTTCTCGAACTTGATGAGTTATAAACAGGTTATCAAAAAAAGCAATATATTTTAGTTTAATTTTATAGTTTTTTTATATGATAGAGATAAAAAAAACAGGTGAGCAAGTGGAATTGTGTACACGATCGAAAGTGTACATTTAGGATAATGATGCAAAGCAATACAAACAAAGTAAGATATACTTAAAGGACAACAGTGACCTCAAAACTATTTTAATATAACAATCTTTTCATCATGTTTTGAGAGGAAATATAAAAAAAAATGTAAATTAAGTATTTGTAAAAAAAAAACGATGATAAGCTCATCTCTATCTTTAGTATATAATATGTTCCTTCAGCTTTATACACACACCTTGGGTCAGACAGTGTTTGGAAACCTCTATATAGTCTCTATGGTCTTCCTTGCTTTACTCTCAGGGAAGACCATAGAGGCTAACTATCCATTTTCTAACACTAGGTGACCCAAGATGTATGTATGTGGCTAAAGGATAATGTCATATACTAAAGGTATGAATGAGTTTGGTATACTTACGTTGGATCACCAAAATTAAGGGTACCAAATTAAGAACTTATCTACTAATCAACTGACACGGCACATTTTAAGAAAATTGACTTTTTTTCTTAATTTTGACCTTTCAGATGTGTAGTAGATTTGTTATCATTATGCGGAATTGTCATAATTCAGAAACACAGATTCCAACACTCAGATTCAGACAGAGCAGGATCTTCACATCCCATTTCTAGAAGAGTAAAGTGCTGCGGAATATATTGGCACTATATGAATGCCAATAAAAACTCTCAGATTCAGACTGACAGATTCACACACACACACACAGAGATTAAACACACTCACAGATTCACACAGACATACTTACAGATTCATGCAAGAAGGCCACCCTCTCATGTTCATGCTATACTTTGCCACCCTAATCTTTGCTTACCATATCACTGCCGGAGGATATGCAGGAGGTGGCTATCCATAGGTGCCGTTAATGCTGGACCTCCCATGCAGCTTTCAGAATGCACTAGAAGGACATGATATTATGTGACAGTGAAGGGGGAAAAGCCAGAACAATGGTTCTATTTTGGGCGTGGTCTGCTGAGATGGAGCTCCATCGGCCTGACCCTATGTTAATCCTGCCTTGCCAGACAGTGCCCACGATGCTTATGCTGCTGGAGGCATGTTGACATGGCTATCTAGATTGCATGCCTCCGAACAGTCCCAATTTTGTCCTCGATTTACGGGTCCTCCGCCTTCCTGACTTTGTTCCCTGGTGTCCCGCTTTTGGGGACACCAGGGAACTGTCCCCAACAATCATAGATTGCGCTATGTTCAAGGCATTAGACCCTGCAGGGAGCACTTGCAAGATTCGCAGGCAGCCTATCGTGTATTCACACCAAGCTGACCAGTCAATAACATGGGCATCCATGCCATCTTTCCAGGTGGATCCTCTCTCTTTTTGGGCAGGTTCCGTGACAGATTCCTGGAAGTTATGAAATTGTAAGTTCTACCTGGATTGTAAGTTCCCATGGGAATAAGACCCTGAACTACTCCTGTATTTGTTTGTCAAATTTTGTATTGTTTGAATATAAAGTACTTTATATTTTTATTAGTACCAATTGTACACATTTACAGTGCTGCGGAATGTGTTGGCACTTTTTGAATAAAGTATAATAAGAATATCTCAGTATGTGCAGCATCTCTTAGTGAAACGATTTCAACCACTGTGACCATATCAACACTGAACTGATCCTCTGATTTGGATGTTGATGCCATTTATTATATTTTATCGTTTTACTGGTTTTTTTAAATCAATAAGTTGTGAATATTGATTTACATATATGCCATCATGTTATATATTTTTTTTAATTACAAGGTTATATGCTCATCTACATGAACACTATAGGCGTGTCAAACAGAAGACAACTCCAGACTGAAATGTCCCTTTAAAGCAGGGGTGCCCAGATGTTTTAAAACTTTACTGTCATTTTAAAGTCATGAAAAGCATCATGGTAGTTGAAGTTCTACAACATCTGGGGATCTACCTTTTGGGCACCCCTGCTTTAAAGGAACACTTCAAGCACCACAATTATTTAAGTATGCTGTAGTGGTTATTGTGCCAGAAGTCCAATGGCTTGACTTTTTTGTGCTGTCCGCCAGACCCCAGTCACTGCTTCTACTACTGAAGTTCTCTCTTATGTCCAGAGGCTAAGTTAGTGGCTGAAAGATATAGCTTGATGATCTCAGTCAATGATCTGGCCTACATTACAGACTTAGCACAGGTGAGCTAACAGAAGCTCCTAACAGAAACTTACAACTCTCCAAAATAGAACCCAGCAGATCCCAGGTAAGATGTCAGACCATTAGATGAAGTAGTCTGGGGGACTTAACTCCCTTAAGGTACATTTTACATTAAAAAAATGTTTTCGCTTTCTTAAGACACTTTAATCATCCTCACAATTTTGTGGTGTGATGTCTCCCTCTGTAGGACAAAGTGAAATTCTCTTCATAAAATAATTCATAAGTTAATTGTAATGATTTTTACATTTATTATTAATTTGTAAATGCTTTTTATGAATATTGGAGAGTATTTCTCCATCTTATAATAGCTTAGTAGTACCATACTATCTAATAATCTAGCAGAAAAATAGAGGAC